ACACACATACATACATACATACATACATACATACATACATACTATACATCCGTACATACATGAATCAAGTATGTTACATGATAACATGCAGGCATGCATGCATGCGTGCACGCACACACTTCCACATACACGTGCGCAATGCATGCATGTGTATACGGATAACCACACCCACCTTTACATCTACATACACGTATACGTATAGGTATAGGTATACCCCAAGGGTCCAAGTACCTATAATAATCATATACTCTCCAAAATCCTAACCTACATCCACTACTATCCTAAAACCGAGTACCGAATTATTGGGTCTTTCTGACGCTTGGGGTACCGGTACATATACTTGTACGTACATAACTGCATAAATACATGAATGGCTACATGCGTACATGCATACATATGCACGTGCATGCATCCATGCATGCACTTTCGCATAAATACAAGTACATGTCTAAAGTGTCCTGGCATGAATGCATGCGCATACACACACACACACACACGAACACACGAACACACACACACACACACACACACACACACACACACACAGACACACACACACACACACACACACACGGGCGTCTGTTGAGTGGTCTGCGTTTTGTTCAAGCTCTACAGGTGCGTAGGTTTGAATTTATGTATATATGTATATATGTAGTATGTATATATATATATATATACGTGTATATATACATATGTATATATATATATATATATACGTGTATCTATCCTTCTCTGTCTATATATATGTATATATATATATATGTATATGTTAAGAGAGGCACACATACCTATGTACACACAGAGAACATCAAGATGATTGTATGTCTACGTCTGTGCATATTTCCCATGATTACGGGCGTCTAAGCTTTACTCGTCTATGCGTAGATATGTATAGGCTAGATACTTACATATTCATGTACCCATGTTGCTCTTATACCCTTGTGCCGATACACTCTTGCATATTTATGCACTGGCATTCTTGTACACTTATGTTTACCTGTGTATCTATCTACGGAGATACAGTATGGCACAGTTCCCATTTCTTGGAGACAGAGACAGAGAGACAGACACAGAGAGGGAGGAGGAGAGGCAGAGAGAGATAGCGAGAGAATGCGTGTGTGTGTGTGTGTATGTGTTGTATGGACATACGAGGAAGCGAAGGGCCTCGCCTAGAATTTGGGTTAGGTCGCGTGATTTCGTCACTTGGCAAAAGAGGGGGTGGCCAGCCACTCAAAGGTATTCGAGGGGCCCGCCCATAGCCCACACGAAATGAAGGTGGGACGCCTCACGAAGATTTTGTGCTTGCTTCAGTTGCTTGGTTCATTTTCCACCCCTGGGACATAAGTAGTGTGATTGAGCGTGCCGCAGTAGTACTTCTGCATCCGCAACCCGAAATTATACATTCCATGAATCTTTCCAGCTTCGAACCGACCCTCCTGTGAACATGGGAGCATTGGAACGTGGTTTAAGCATAAAGGCAGTAACCAGAAAGTTGGAGCTTCATTATCCTAGTGGCACGAAGGTAAGTACAGGTAATCCTAGCAGTAATCACAGCAAGCCCACTTTCCAAGTTTCTGGGTTCACCAGAGTTATTAGTGCTGGCAATTCCCACACTTTGCCTTACAGTCATGAGGACACTGATGCTCCAACGTTCCGGATTTGGCACCATCAATCAAAGACCCCCCATATCCTAAACCTTGTGCTATTCTGGAAGCCCTCGACGATTCTTAGATGGTACAGACTCTTGGATACTTAATGACGCTGATCAGGATTCTTTATTCTAATTCTATTGCAACATGCACCAAATTGTGTTCTAGTTTTGGGCCCTGTGCTACTGGCTTCTTGCACCACATCGCAGAACCGTAAGAGCCTAAAGAAACCGGTAAGGGTTTCTAGGAGCCGTAGGAAACCTTTGCGTAAACCCTTCACAACCGCAGCACACCTTACAAAACCCTCCAGGAGTCCTGAGCATTTTCGTGTTGGGAGAAGGGGCGAATCCCTATGAAAGCATCTCGATCATTCTCAGACCACAAGTTGCAAAAAAAAGCGGTACCGGAGACTCCATTCGTCTATACCTAGAGGCACCATAGTAGTTCTTTTTGTGGCTTTTATTCTTAGTAGCTGAGTAGGTAGCCTCTAAGCTTTTACTTATAACCCATATTGGGGACTTAAAACCCCATTGATAATTGCCCATAAACCTCCGAGTAGAATGTTGGGATTAGCGGGCTTAGAGTTTGTGGTTAAGGGTTTCGAGCGTTCGGGTTACCTGGACCCTATAAAGCCTTCGTTTTTCCTTATATATGCCCTTAAAAGGTAGGTTTTTTTGGGGTTTGGGGTCTAGGGATTCTTCGCCTGAAGGTTTCAGGTAGAATTCAGGGCCCCTGTGACATGATATGTGTTTGGTGAAGTTTGCTTGAAGTTTGGGAAGCCTATAAACCCTAAACTAAACCCTAAAAAGGACAGGTATGGGTCGCACTGAGGACTTAGAACCCCAAAAACCCGAAACTATTTTGGAAGTGGGGCGGGATGCAGGCTTGCTTTACCAGAGGGGCACTAAATAATTACCAAGACAATAGATTGGGTGGGGCTCTGTGTTATCGTAGAATTTACCCTCAAACCCTATTCTAATGATTGTCGCCCCTGCAGTGTTTGGGATCCCCTAGCTATCGGATATTGGAGTCTCTGGAGGCGTTGCACAGGAGTATGCAACAAATCCCAAATCACATGCCGCCCTCGTGAGGGGGTACAAGATGTCGTAAGGCTTCCTGAATGTTTGGAGTCCAGTAGGAGTGCCCAAGGGGCCCAAGCAATAGCATATAGTACATACCCCCTAAACCCTAAACTCTAAACCGCATACTTTGGGGCCCAATAGTAGGGAAGGAACTCCATAGACGCAAGATTAAGCCGTCATGTCTTGGGTTTTACGTCTCCCTCAGGGTCCATGTACTCATATAGTGTATACATTGGCCTTAATGTAGTCCCTATATAGGTACTTTGGGGCTCATCTATCTCTATATGGGTACATGGACCCTTACGGGTTGAGGCAGAAGATCTTTGCAAGTGGCTTTTCAATTACAGCATGCTCAACGTGCTGCAAGGGGTTGTAGCGTGTCTCGGTTCTTGGAGTTGACTCAGTCCAAAGTGCTCATCTGTCACATCCTGACAAACCCTACCCAAAGGGTCCAAAGTGCCGATATAGTAGAATGTAAGGTTTCTATATTAGGGATGACTTTTATGGTTTGGGGAAGTATTCCCCATAACAGTACCTAGGACCCATTTGGGCTACCAGCCCTAGAAGCCCTATTCACCCGCTGACTAAGTTCTAAGCCCCGGGATTCCGGGGGTGGAGGATGGCTTAACCCTAAGGGCCTAAAGGTCCCCCCACCAAAAAAACCCAGGAATCATGCTTCCTTTGAAGGCTGTCGGGCTACAAGCCATTTAATATAGGGGCCTTTATATAATTACCTATAAGATTGTGGGGGTTCCTTAATATGATTATAGTATAATAGGCCCAAAACCCCTATTCTAATTATTAAGGCCCCTATATTAATATCATATCAAAGGTGATGTTCCATTGTGGGAATCAGGGTTGAAGGCTTAGGAGCAAGAGCGACATGCAATGATTTGGGACTTGTGCACGAACTCTGCAGCGTCATCAAGAGGAGCACTGAGTGTCTCCCAACGATCTGGCGTACACAATGGAAACGCATTGACTATCTCCGAAAGATGCTGACCTCTCGTCGTTTGCTTGTTTGCATGCGCTCCGTCTGTCCGTGTGTGTGTGTGTGTGTGTGTTTGTTTGGTTTGGAGGTTTGGAGGTGTAGGGTTGAGATAGGGTTCAGGTTCATGGTCTTATGTGGGTGGTTGTCAATAATTATTAGGGTCCCTTTTTGGGTCCTCATCACAATACGGCACCTAATATCTAGGGTACCCAAAAAGGGGCCAGAATTTTGACAACCACCCATGTGTGGCTGTGTTAAGGAAGGAGGTGGGGAGATGGCCTCGTAGTGGCTACTGGGGCAGACTTCAGGGCTGTTTGCTATTACAGAGGAGGGTTCCTCGTTACGATATGTGGGGTTTCTGCAAGTTAGAGGGTACCTTACTTTGGGGTTCTTTAGAATAAGGATCCTACTATTTAGGGTACTATATTCGGGTCCCCTATGTTCGGAAACTACCATATCCTTCTCATCAAGCCCATGACATGAGAGAGTCGGGAGTTCATGTAAGCTCGGAAGTCAAACTCGCTAAACATTCTGCAACCCTACTAAAAGAGGAACACGCAGTCGACATCACGTCCAGATAATGGGGGGTGTCCTAGAAGACTCTTCGTTGACGGACCTTGCGTCGTTATGCTAGGTCCCAAGCCTATGCCCCCAACCCCTCATCCTTCGTCCTAGACCTTGAAAATTCCAAAGGCTCCCCCAAATCCTGCTGCCATAAACCCAAACTCTGAACTCTGAACCTGAACCCCAAAACCAAAGCCACGAGAAACGGCAAGATCAGGGCCGAAACCCTAAACCCGGAACCCCTAAACCCTAAACCTGAGCCCCTAAACCCTGAACGCTAAAACCCCAAAGCCCCTAAACCCTAAACCCTGAACCCCTGACGCCTAAACCTGAGCCCCTAAACCCTGAACGCTAAAACCCCAAAGCCCCTAAACCCTAAACCCTGAACCCCTGACGCCTAAACCTGAGCCCCTAAACCCTGTACCATGAACCCTGAACACTAAACCCCAAAACCTCTAAACCCTAAACCCTAAACCTGAGACCCTAAACCCTGTACCCTGAACCCTGAACACTAAACCCCAAAACCTCTAAACCCTAAACCCTAAACCTGAGCCCCTAAACCCTGTACCCTGAACCCTGAACACTAAACCCCAAAACCTCTAAACCCTAAACCCTAAACCTGAGACCCTAAACCCTGAAGCCTGAACACTAAGCCCCAAAACCCCTCAACCCCTCAACCCTGAACCCTCGCCCAAGAACTGCTTTGGGATCAAGGCAAGGCCTCCCACGACGGCAAGATGCGCCGTGCGGTGCAGGACAGCGTTTTAGAGTCTAGGGTTTAGGGTTTAGGGAGTTTAGGGTTTTGGGGTTTGGGGTTTTGGGGTTTTGGGGTTCAGGGCTTAGGGTTTTGTGTGGTTTATAGGTTTCGGTTTTTTTTTTCGGGTTGTAGGGCTTATAGGGTTTATAGGGTCGGGCGTTTAGGGTTTGTAGGGTTTATCGGTTTAGGGTGGGTTATGGGTTTTGGGCTGAGGCTTCAATTTATCGGTGGGGGCGGGAGGCAGTGTAGGCTGGGTGGTGCCCTGGCGCAGGGTAGAGGCTTTTTGATTCCGGGTTCGTCCTTTTAGTTTGGGATTTACGGGTTTAGGGTTTAGGGGTTTAGGGTACTTAGCTTAGGTAGAGTTCCCACCTCCTCCTTCTGAAGTTCAGAAATCGAAGCCTCAGTGTGGCATGTTGCTTGCGGGCGTGTGAGGGCGTAAGGCGTCAAGGTTGAAGCCAAATTTACCGGGATCTCCAATAACTTTGATATTTTAAGGATTTATACGAGGAAACCGTAAAATGGTAATCCTAAAAAGGGTAGGTTCTTTAGGGTCCAGGTAGGGCTTGTTATAAGGCTTACTATCGGATAAGGCTTCGAGGTTGAACCCTAACCCCAAACCTCAAACCCGAAGCCAAGCTGTCTGGTTTGGGGCTTTAGGGCTTATGGGGCTTTCTTCGGGCCTCAGTCGTATAACAAGCACAAACCCGAAGCCACGTCAAGCCCTAAACCCGACATCTCAAACCCAAAGCCATCCTAACCGCTAAACTCGAAGCACAAAGCCTGATACCATCCTAGCCCCATACCCTGCACCCCCAACCCCGAAACCATCCTAGAGACTTATAAGCACCGAAACCTACCCCCCAACCCGAAACCGTTTCAAGCCGCAAACCCAAGCCTCAAACACTAAACCATCCTAAGCCCCACCTAGACCCTGAAGAACCTAGCTTTTTAGGGTTCCCTCTCATGGTTCCCTTATAGAAGTCCTTAAAAAGGGTAGGTTATTTGGGGTTTTAGGTAATCCCCGAGCCACAAAAACCCAAGCCTGGGATTACACGAGGCGACCATGGCTGCGCGTCGAGCTGCTTTGATGCAGAGCTCTTCATCCATTGCCCGGTTTGTTGCTTTGGGGCTTTTGTTTTTTCTTATTGGCTGCAAACTCAACTTTTCAACTTTTGGGGTTCTTATAAGGCAGTCAATTCTGAAAGTTATAGCTTTTATTGCCTTGGGTTTTGGACCTGTGAGTTTTAGAGGGTTCAGAGGAGTGGGGAGCCGGGGTGCCAGAGTTTGGGGGGAATTGTGGTCTTGGAGGTTTGCGGGTTTTAGAATTTCTTTTTTGCAGGGTTTCCTATAACCCTTTAAGGGTCCATGTGCTCATATAGTATATACATTGGCCTTCATGTAGTCCCTATGTAGGCACTTTGGGGCTCATGTATCTCTATATGGGTACATGGACCCTTGGGGTAAGGCGTTTCGAGGCTTCAGGTTTTTGCGTGTTTGGTTCAGGGGCTTAAGCTCGGGGCTTATCGTTTAGTTGGGGTTCCCAGCCAGAAAACCTACGCCTGAAGCCCTAAACCCTAAACCCTAAACCCTAAACCCTAAACCCTAAACCCTAAACCCTAAACCCTAAACCCTAAACCCTAAACCCTAAACCCTAAACCCTAAACCCTAAACCCCAAACCCTAAACCCCAAACCCTAAACCCTACGTTCCAGTCGCTGTGATGCTCAACTCCCACCTTCACTCGCAGTAGAACTCAGCGAAACCTTAGGGCCACCCTTCACTTTGAATCTTGAACGGGAAAGGATAAAGTAAAAGCCAGAAAGTTGGAATATGATTATCCTAACCCTTCTGTGGTAAATTATAGGGTATCCTACCATGAAACCATATTCCAACTTTCTGGAGTTCCCTGTAATGCATGCTGATTATTAGGGGACTTCCTGAACCTACCTGTGTGCCTCAAGCCTAAATCCTAAACAGCAAACCCCTGAACCCGAAACCTTAAGCCTCCAACACCCAAAACCTTACAAGCCCCCTGAATGCGCTCAGTTGCAGAAGAAGCCTGGAAAAGGCTGCTCGGCGAAGTTACAGATAGATAGATAGGTATACAGATAGATAGGTATATAGGATTATAAAGGTAGATAGGAGGAAGGCAGATAGATAAATAGATAGGTAGACAGGCAGATAGGTAGATAAGTAGATATGCAGCCAGTGTATGCTTGGAATAGTTGGGAGTCTATGCTAAGGGTCTCATTCTGCAATGACGGTAATTCGGTAACGGTTCTGTGTTAGGGCTCCGTTCTGTCTGAAACTCCCATCCTTTCCCCAAAGGGTCCAAAGTACCGCTCTAGTAGAATGTAGGGTTTCTATATTAGGAATTACTATTATGATTCGGGAAGGTATCCCCCGTAACAGTACCTAGGACCCTTTGGATTATGTTTCCTGATGGTCCGGAAATACACGCGTGTCTGCTATTCTTTCTTACGCACAGCCAGGAAGCTCAAGCCCCGTACAGCTGCAAGCCGTGCGGCTGCCCTAGAACCACAAGCTCAGCCCTAAAGCCTCTATCCCTAAACCCTAAAGCCCCTAACCCTAAACCCTAAAGCCTCTAACCCTAAACCCTATAAACCCTAAACCCTAAAGCCTCTAACCCTAAAACCCTATAAACCCTAAACCCTAAAGCCTCTAACCCTAAACCCGGTACTGTTGACGGTCTTCAGCCCTTTGTTGCTCAGGCAGCGCTGGAGCTGCCGCTCAGTTCGCAATCTTTCCAGCTGAGGTCTCGCAATGCCTCCGATTTAGGGTTTAGGGTCATTCTAGGGGTTAAGGATTTTTTTGAAGAGGCTATAAAGGGATCTATAATAGGGGTTTAGTGGTTTAGGGTTTGGGTCTTGTTTTGGGTCCGGGCTTGGGGTTTGAAACTTCTGAACCTAAACAGTGTGCTTACGTTTCGGATCTAGGAACTACCTATAGTCTCCGTTGTAGTTCCTTTTTTGCTTGAACCTTCAACTGGCAGCCTGGCAGAGAGCACAGATCCAACAATCCAACACCCTTCTCTATCAGCTCTAACTCTACAGTAGAAGCCAGAAAGTTGGAATATCATTATCGTAACCCCTTTAAGGTAAATTATAGGGGATCCTACCATTAATCCATAATCCAACTTTCTGGAGTTCCCTTTAAGCCTGTAGTGACATCCCAAGCCGTCACTCTGCATGGGACTTGTAATCGGGGTCGTTACTTACGGGTCTTTGTTTCGAGAAGTCTAGTACCGAGGGCCTACATTCGGAATCTCATTGTCAGCCGCAAAACCAGGCTGTTCAGTGGTGCACTTTTTTACTTTCAGATTTCTGGTTTCCTATTATAAAATGAGAACCTGAAAAAAGTATCTAATTTTTCCCAGTGGGTTACCCTCACGGTCCAGGTACCCACGTAGAGAGACATGAGCCCCAAAGTACCTATATAGGGACTACATTTCGGCCAATGTATATACTGTATTAATACATGGACCCTTAGGGACCAGACTTCGCGAGTTTTCTGCAGGACCCCTGAACCTTCAACCGGGAGCCCGGCAATTAGGCATCCTACTATAACTTACGGGACATTCCTTAATTAAGGGATATCTACTTGTTCCCAGTGGGTTACTGAACAGCCTAGATAAAACGCCAAGTTTCTCACTTCTTTCTGCCTAAGAAGGCAAGGGACTTTGGCCCAGAAAAAAAAAACGCCAAGTTGCCTAGGAGGAGCCGGAGAAGGAAAGATCCGACAAGCCATGTCCTCAGTCGAGCTGCTGGGAGTTTCCGAAAATTAGGGGAGCCTGGGGTTCCTTTTAAAGGGTGACTATAAGGGCACAAAAAATGGGTGGAGTTTCCGAAAATAGGGGAGCCTTTAAGGGTTCCTTTAAGGGGTCTATAATAAGGTTCTACTCAGGGTTTAGGGTTTAGGGTTTAGGTTTGGGAGTTTCCGAGGATGTGTCAGGGTCCATGGCACCACCACCCGGAGTGGTGGACATGGCAAGGCTGGGCGATCTCATGCTATAACCAGGTGAAACAGGGTCGAAAGGTCTTGAAATCTTCCACGACCATGTCAAGCCTGAATCCTGCACGGCCCCAATCGACCCCTAACCTCCAACAAACCTTGAGCCGCTAAAGCAACACAGAAGATACAGTAGAGGCCAGAAAGTTGGAACATCCTTAGCCTCATGGCCTTAAAGTAAAGTATAGGGAAAATCTATGTTCCAACTTTCTGGGGGGTTCACTATATCCCCTTAACAGAACCCAAATAGATCCCTCATAGTCCCCTTAAAGGAACGCTAATACATGATCGTAAGGCCTCGCAAGAAAACGCGCCGGTTGAGCAACGAAAAGTTCGCAACAGCCGCTCGGAAGCAGACCATGGTTGTTGTTTGGAATGCTTTCAATTCCTCATTGGCTGCTTTTTAAGTTTTGGGGTTCTTATAAGGCAGTCAGTTCTGAAAGTTTCAACTTTTATTTCCTTGGGTTTTGGGCCAGTGAGATTCAGCATTCAAAAGAACAGTTTGCGGTTTTTTTTGTTCAGACCGAGTCGCGACAGAGCATACTGTCGTCACATGACCATTCATTTTGGCTGTGGACTTTGGCATTCTGGGTCTAGGGGTTTGGTATTCTGGATGCAGAGCCTAGGATTCAGAGGCTAGGATGTGTTGGTGGAGTACTTCACGTTACTGGGCCCAGCAAGCTTTAACTGAGCGGGCTCCGGTCGGCCCCGCTGCTTCCCTAAACCCCGAAAACTTGTTGGCTGTAAACTCAACTTTTCAACTTTTAGGGTTCTTATAAGGTAGTCAATTCTGAAAGTTTCAACTTTTATCTCCTTGGGTTGTGGGCCAGTGAGAAACCACCCAAACACCATGCCCACAACAGGAAGATACCAGCGTCGTGGAGGAGAAAGAGGATGACACTCGACTTTGTAAACCATGGCCAATGTATATACTATATGAGTACGTGGACCCTTAGGGTTACTGACCAGCCTAGTTATAGTAACCCATATAGAAACCCTTATAGTAACCCTTGCAGTAACCCATACAGCAACCCTTGCGCGAGCCTTTCTTTCTCTAACGGCTTGCATATTCGGGCCCCGACTATGATCCATATGGAGGGAACGTGACCTGGGTTCGGGCTTCGATTGCGCACTACAGGTCTACACGCCAAGCAAGTCGATATTACAACCATATTCATAAACAAGAAATTGCACTATAAACAGGAAAAGGAATCAGTGAGCCCTAAACCCGAAGTAGTTCGCAAATCCACATGGGTTTGCCCTTTGTGAGGAGCTCAACTTAGTAGCAGGGTAAGTAAACGTTGACCTCTTGGGGTACTCTCACATTACTTTAAGGTTTTAAGAGCTAAAGCAGCTAAAGTACGGATCCCATGGGCCAGCATGTTAAAACAGGAGCTCAATGAGGGGGTTATCAAGGCCCATGTAATGGTGGTGTTCCCCTGCCGTGTTTAAGGAATCTGAGTTTGAGGACCTTGCTTTTGCTTGGGGGTTGTTATAAACTGGGTCAGTGTTGTGTTTACATGATTCTGATTCGGCGGCTTTGCTTGGCGTGTGCTTGCAACTTGCAGCTGTTCTTAGCAGTCCAACCACCAATCTTCACGGTTCTGGTCCTGACCCTGTCGTCATCTAGCTGTAGCCATGTGTAGCCCGTGTCCATCTTCCGTCACATCTCATTGCTAGCGCCCGGAACAAAATTCGCCTGCTACGCCTAACCCGAAAGCCCTTACTCCGAAACAGCCTGAAATCTGACGTATTTCAAGCGTAAACCCCAAACCCCGAAACACTAAAGCCTGGAATGCTACAGACAGTGCTTCAAGGATGAGGCATTCATTGCCCGGGTGACGAAAATCCTGGAGGATCTTCCTCTCGAATCTGTGGCTGGAAATTTAAGACTTACGGTTGATGATATAATCTTGCATTACCTTAAGGACCCTAGACTATGGGAATTATGGTATATTCCTTATTGTGGGTAATGCAGGTTTTATATCATCAACAGTAGGGGTTTTGAGTCTCAGGACTATCACTTTAGCTTTGGCTTTGCGAGTTTAGAGGTTTCGGGGCAGGGCTCAGGGTTTCGGAGCACTGTCTCAGGTCCAACAAAGAAGATGCCGTTTAGAAGGGCTTTATGACGTTGGATTCTATATATGTAGGATTTATACAGGCCTGATAGGGTGCTATCGTCTCTGCAATCTGCAAGGATCGTACCGTCCCAAAGGGTCCAAAATACCGATATAGTAGAATGCAGGGTTTCTATATTAGGAGTTACCATTGTGATTTGGGGAAGTATTCCCCGTAACAGTACATAGGACCCTTTGGGCATAGGGTGTTGCCAGTAGGGCTTTTGGGAGCCTTGCAGGGTTTAGGGTTTGGGATAGGAACCTGATTAAGAACCTTGGGCCTTTATTAGGGTTCCTTATCTAATCCTAGTGTTTTGGGTCTATAGGCCCAAGGTTTCTTAATGAGGTTCCTACATTAGCTACATTGGCTTGGAAGCCCTCCAAACTCAGAAGAAGCGTTTCACCGCGGCCCTTGTAGTTCTTTGGCGGTTTCAGGACAATGCGAAGCCCGAAGCTTTCTAACTAGTTTCGAGACAACCTGTAACAGCACAAGCAACAAAAAAACACATGTATATGCATGTAGATGAAAGCGCACCTACACCTACACACATACACGCGCACCCAAACCTTCGCCGATGAGAACGTATGTTATTGATCCTAAGGTGCATCGAAGCGGCCCGTAACGGTGGCAACACTTGCCCCCGTAGAGAGACAAGGCTCATGAGTGCCAGATGCCGAAGATAAGCACGCCCAGAGACTCCAATATCCCTTAATTCAGGAATATATACCTTAAGTCATATTAGGGATCCCACTATAGTTCAAAGTATATTCCTTAATTAAGGGATATTGGAATCCCCGAAACCCTAGGCCCTAAGCCCTATCCCTAAACCCTTCGGATCCCTAATCTGATTTAAGGTATACTTCTTAATTAAAGGGATATATTTGAATCCCCTAATCCCCTAAACCCCAAACCCTATAGGTTTGTTTAAGTCGAGGATCCGTTTAAGGAACCCTGGGTATATTCCTTAATGAAAGGGATAGTGGTGTCTCGGGGCTCTCCTCCCTAAACGCCCTAATCCCAAGGCCACACTCTGATCTCTGAGACTCCTTGCCGTCCAGCCGGTTCCAACTCCAAGTACATCCAAAGACCTTACCCTAGGGGTCCATGTACCCATCTAGAGATACATGAGACCCAAAGAACCTGTATAGGGGCTACATTAAGGCCAATGTATATATTATACTATATGAGTACAAGGACCCTCAGGGTTAGCCAAAAGCTTGCGAAGGGGCAGGGATAGACACCAGATGCACCGCATCCAGATTTGCCTACAAATACCTGAAACCCTACACCATAAAATCCTACCGCAACAAGATGCCTCGACGGTTTCGCACTAAGAGACTCCCTGGCCCCCTGTCCTACCCTCGATCCGCTGATCGCAAAGATTGTATAACAACTTTAAATGCTAGGCAACCGTCTACGCCTTCCTGAACCCAAAACTCCAGTTTCCTTAGAGGCGCATAAGAATTCCAGCCCCTAAACCCCAAATCCTAAACCCTAAGCCCTAAGCCCTAAATCCTAAGCCCTACCAGCCCCTAAACCCTAAACCCTAAGCCGCTCTTTAAGAAGAGCTGAAAGCCGAGGATACGGAAGCCATGATCGAGTGCAGTTCGCGGCATCAAAAGTCGATGCTGCTGGAAGCTGCTAGAGAGCCGTGCCCTCAGGTTTAGGGTTTAGGTAGTAGTGGTAGTGGTAGTGGTAGTAGTAGTAGTAGTAGTAGTAGTAGTAGTAGTAGTAGCAGCAGCAGTAGTAGTAGTAGTAGTAGTAGTAGTAGTAGTAGTAGTAGTAGTAGTAGTAGTGGTAGTAGTAGTAGTAGTAGTTGTAGTTGTAGTAGTAGTAGTAGTAGTAGTAGTAGTAGTAGTAGTGGTAGTAGTAAGTAGGTTGTTTAGATTGAGGGATGTGTTTCCTTTGCTTGGTTTTGTGCGGCGCTTGGGGTTAAACGTTGCTTGGAAGACATTGCTTTAAAGGGGTGCATGTGGTGGAAGCAGTTTAGTGGTTTGGGGTGCATGGTTTCGGCTGCTGGGAGTAGCGCTCATTCAGGCTCTGGGGTTGAAGCGTTTGGGGCTAAGGCTTTGACAGTCTCGGCCAACAAGACACACCACAGCAAAAAAAGCAACACAGCATTTTCGCCCCTTCAGCCTCTGACCAAAGCTGTTGGAGATAAAACCACATACTTGACTGCTGGTGGTGATCCCTCTGCCTACCATGTCAGGATGTTACAGTTATAGGGTGTGGGTTTTCACGTGTGCATGGCCTCGGCGTTTCCATGGGGCGTTTTCGGGTACTCAGTTTCGACATCGCAGGTTCCCAAAATACTAAATCCTGAACCTAGCCTCAGCTCAGCCGTACCAAAATCAGGGTTGTAATCAAGAAGGCGGAAGTATGTAGTCTAGTAGTATTCATAAGAATGCCACCGACGTCATTGACAAGTGGGCGGGCAGTTCGGATAAAATCCGTCATGTTGTGATGGAGTTCTTCAAGGGCAGCTGCTCCAATGACGGCCATGCAAAGATGAGCCTGAGCATGAAGTTCACTCAGCGTCGCATCGCCGTTAAGGAAGAGATGGCTCAGAGTTCGCAAGGCACGGGTGGCTACACTGTCCCAGCGGAGGATGTGACCATTTGAGCTTCACACTGCCTATGCGGTTTTGACAATCCGATTAGGTTCCTGGGTGTCCCTACACTCTAACATACCAGAAAGCCTTAAGGCCCCTCTACTATGGAACCCAGGTTCTAGATCTCAAACAAGTAGAAGCCTCCAAATAACTCTAAACCCTGAACCCGGAACCCCAAGCCTGTACAGAACCCTTCTTACAAGGAAGCCTATTCCAATTGTCGAGGCTCCTTTACCCAGACCCCCGGGAGGATCCAAAAAGCAGATCCCTTAATGGGGGTTCCTATAAAATACCCTTAGTAGTATAGGGCCCCAAATTAGGGGATCTACTTTCCCTTATAGATCCCTAAACCCTAAATCCTAAGGGATCCCATAAAGTAGCCCCTTAAGGAACCCTACAAATCTACGTTCTAGATCCTCCCGGGGGTCTGGGTACTTGTCGTAAGTGGAACCTCCGTTGGGGAGCCCCACAGTCTTCGCCGAAGCGGAACTTGGGTTTGAGTTTTTCAAAGGGTTTTTAGGATTCAGGGTTTAGGGTTCAGGGTTCAGGGTTAGGGTTCAGAGTTTAGGGTTAGGGTTCAGGGTTTGGGGTTTAGGGTTTGGGGTTTAGGTTTAGGGTTTAGGTTTAGGGTTTAGGGTAATTCCCAAAGGTCCTAGGTACTGTTATGGGGGATACTTTCCCAACTCATACTAGTATAGAAACCCTAGGTTCTACTATATAACTACTTTTAACCCTTAGCGTCTAGGGTTTGCAGAGGAGAATCAACAAAACGTTTGGGACCCTGAATATATTGATTCCACGCTGCTTTCGGTGTGTATTGTAGGAGACTTGCAATGAGGAGTTTTGAGGACTATATATATAGTAGAACGAACTGTGAAGGCGTCTATATCATTCCGAAAATGTCGGACCCTTTTACCGAGGGCCCCTACAGAAGATGCCTGCGCAACGGTTGTTCACGTCACCCACAGTGGAATCTCGTGTCAGCCCCCGAAGCCCTGTAGCACCAACTATGATTTCCACTTAGAGTTGGAGTTGTGGGTTCAACGCTTTGGACTTCGGGATTTTAGCGGCTCAGGGTCTCGCTGAAATCCTGCCCTAGGCGCGACTACTTCGCCACGGCATGGCGTTCAGGTGTTCTTGTTGCCAACGAGACATGGCAACAGATGCCTTAAAGCTCTAGGTACCTCAATAGTGCGATATCGCGGTACATAAGATATGGTTTGGAACCTACGCACACATGGCTAGTACCCAAGCAGTATATACTTTAGGTTGCATGCACTCCTTATTTAGGTACTTTGGGGCCAGAGTATATACTGTTTGGGTACATGGACCCTTACGGTCACTAAGATTTTGGTTAGTAACCCACTGTCTATAGGTAGCTGGAGAGCTCTAGGGATGGCTTGCTATTCTGGGCCTCTTCGCAGGGTGTCCGTTAGGTTTCGGTTGACGATCCCTGAGCAACCATGTGCCACAGAGTATAGACTTTGGGTGTACCCCTAAGGGTCCATGTCCTCATGTAGTATATACATTGGCCTTAATGTAGTCCCTATATAGGTACTTTGGGGCTCATGTATCTCTATATGGGTACGTGGACCCTTAGGGTACAGTAGCGACATAGGGACTACTTTCAGCCCGAAGTTTTTCCTGTACTAAAGTACATGGAGCTCTTAGGGAGGGCCATTCTACTCAATTCGACCCTGGACCCTTAGCTTTAAGCGCCCTAGCGCCTGCAACGCGAAACCCTGGAGACCGAAGGTGAAAGCTATTCTTCCAGCAGTCTTGCTTGTGCAAGCTAGGACTGGGTAGTATGACGAGCGACAACAGCTTTGACACAGAGCCGTACCCAGCTGTGGGCTTCTAGCGTCCCAATATCTGCCCGTTCTAAGTTATGTTCAATGCAGGAAGTGCAGAAATAGCCTCATGTATGTGGAAATCATAGAAACTCTGCCGGAGCAATTGGCTCTGTTAAAACCCGTATCTTGAAGCCTTACCCCTAATCTTGAGGGCCACACCTTACATTGATAGCTTAGTAGCTGAACGGGTTCACCGTGGATTACAACATTGGGGATAATATTACCCCGATAGAACTGAAAGTTTACGCCTCGTTGGGGCTTATGAACTCAGCCACTTAGACTTAGATAGTCTTTAAGCTTCTTCACGGTTCTGTAGGCTCGAAGAAAGAGAATCTTGTGATAGTGAGCCTGCTTTCCCTGCAGTGAGCAACCCCTACCCTAAACCCTGAAAGCTCAAGCCTATAACCCTACCCTAAGGCCTAGCCTCAGCTTTAAACCCTACCCTAACGCCTAACCTCCTAACCCCTAAGCTGCCAAACGAGGCCTGTGGCATGTTATACCCATGGTCATATAAGAAGCCCAAGAGAGCGGTCAAGCAGATGTTTGTTTATTGTGTTCTAAGGGGCGTCTAGAAACCAAGGCCACTGAAGATGAGTTACATCATTCCACAGGGCACCTTATTGCAGTTTGTGGTGGTTCATAGTATATCCCAAGTCTTTTGGTATTTTATAGTATAGCAGAACATACCCCCAAAGCCTTCTTCTAGTGCACGTCGTAGCATCTGCTTTGCGTCTTTTTCACCGCACCCAGGAGAAAGAAGCAGCAACCTTTAACGTTTTCTGGTTTATATAGTCCTACCATAACTGAAAAGGTTAACCTATTCGGGCTAGGGTACTCAGCCACTACGCCCAGGAGGGCGAAGAAGCTCGAATAGTGTTCTGGTATTCCAGTGTTCTACCAAGCTACTATTCTAGTATTACAGTACTAGTGTATTATAGTCTTGTTATCGTAGTCTGGTATTATAGTGCTTGAGCAATATAGCATTAGTATGAGCACTGTAGTATTAGTATAGTATCATTCTTCTGCACCCAGGAGGGCGAAGAAGCTCGAAGGCTTCGAGCGGCGGTTTCGGAGGTGGGTTGTGGTTTTACAAAGCTGCCTCTTGGCGGCAGGACCGTTTGGGGTTTGGGGGTTTAGGGGTTCAGGGGTTCAGGGGTTCAGGGGTTTAGGGGTGTAGGGTATACGGGTTTAGGGGCTTAGTGGTTAGGGTTTAGAGCATATCCCTGAAATGTTTATATAGGCTTTTGCAAGGGCGTTGGCTTAGGATTGGTGGCTACTGAAATGGTTTCGGGTATCCCGTGCTGTACTTACGTATAAAGAAGTATAACATGGATCCCCGAGGTAAAGCTTGAATCATGTCGTGAGGTCCCTGTTTCTGTTGAACGCAGAAACAGGGCTACCATGAAGTTGACGATAAGGTGTTTCATGATTACCCTAAACCCTAAACTTTAGGGTTAGTATAGGTTACGTCATGATGAGGGTTAGTACAGGACCCTGGGAGTTCCCTATACAAGGGATACTGCAAGGGGTTACCGTGAGGGGTGCTGCAAGGGCTTACTAGAGGGGCCATGAGGCTTGCCATGAAGGTTTTTGGACGGGATGAGGGATTTTCTGCTTGAAGTCTCGATTCTGATGGTGGGGGTGGGGAGGTTGTTTAGGGCCTCTGCGATGTCGACCACAGTGTTGCTGCAGCAGTTCCGGTCTCGACTCTCACTCCTGCTGCTCCTGCTTGGAGGTTCATGAGTAGTTGTAAGTAGGGTTCTGAGTAGGGTTTACTTATAACCCATATTAGGGGACTTATACCCCCCCTTATAACTACCCATGAACCTCTTAGTTTGGGTTTAATTGAGGCAGAACTGTGGCACAGAATTGGGAGCGTGGAGCTGCCCCGGGAGCATAGACAGGGTTCTTGTAACAGGGTTTAGGTTTTAGGGGTTTAGGGTTTAAGGAGCCTAACTTAGGCAGGCAAATACAAACCTTGCAGCCCGACTCTGAGTCCCGCACCCGAGACCCTGAGCCCAACTCTGTCTCGATTGACGGACGAAAGGCCGGAGTTTGGTGACCTTCTCAAGGGCCTAATGCAGGGCTCCCAGTTGCCAGCTTTGGTTTTCTACGCAGATGTGACAACCCCTGGGAATGTTCTGCGACCTGATTCATCCCTGGCGCAGATGTGCGTATAATGGTCGATATCGCAGCTCCCTGGTTTTCCACATCCCAGGACTGCGCTTGGTGGCAATTCCTGGCTTGTCCGATCCGACCACACAGCTTGAAAAAGCTCCAGGCGGCTTGTCGTTTCTTTATGCGAAAGCTCTCGACATGTTCGCTGGGACAGCAGAGCTGCGCGTGACGGGCAGCTTCCTTGAAGGTGTGCACTGCACGTGCAGCGCGGGGGCTCCTTTCTGACGAAAAAGCCATGAAAGAGGCATGTTTTGCCTCAAAGGGGCACCTGGAAGCAAGCCCTGCTTCCAGTGCCAGAACGTTGTTGGCCATTGCAGCGTTTTCTAGAGCCCTAGACTCCTAGACACCCAACCTAGCCTGAAGCAAGCCCGAAGCCCCCGAACCTTGAACCCCCAAACTCCCCAAACCCCGAACTTTTCAAACCCGGAACCCCCAAAATCCCCGAAACTCTAAACCCACAAAACCCGGCACCTTCAACTCTAGGAACCCCCAGAGTCCCAGAGCCCGACCGTATGACGGCCCAGCTCAGGAAAGCTCCCAAGCTGCTGGAATCGTTACGCGGCACAACTTTGGTTTCCGGGTTTGCGGTTTAAGGTTCAGGGTTCAAGGTCTAGGGTTTAGGGTTTGCGGTTCCCCAAGCAGTGTCACAGTTTCCGCTTTAGGGCTTGCAGTCCATGCTCACTCAACAGACCTTGAAGCAGCAAGCAACAAGCAGCCGCTCACCAGCTGATAACCCCAATATGTCACTCATGGCATATCTGTCCAAGGATGAGTGCATACGGAAAACCAGAAATTTGTCAATATGCGTGCAAGTGTGTACTTGTAGAACCATGGAACCAAGTATAGATGCGAAGGGACAGGTGGCATGCACTTCTAAAGCTGTATGTGTACATCTATATATGTATATAGTCTGTTACAGTATGTGCATACATCTATGTATGCATGCATGGACGGTTGTGTGTACCTTTGTTTGCCTGTCTGTCTGTCTGTATGTATGTATGTATGTGGATGTGTACAAGTATGTATGTACATAAGGAAGTCTATCCATGTATGTATGTGTATATATATATATACATACATGTATGTACATGCAGATGCAACAACGGTACGCTGCTTCGACTACTGATGACTAGCCGTTTCTGTGTATGCCCGGGTCTTGTACACATATGTGGCATATGCAGCTTGACTACGTATCTATCTTTGCATGTATTACGTCATATAGATAGCATGTGCGTCGTAGTATGTGTACACAGATGCATAGGCATCTGCATATACAAGACCTTGCTGCAACTGCCCATTGTATAACCAGATACGCAGTATGACCTTGAAAACTTGACAACTACTCGTAGTCGTAGTAGTAGAGCATGTCACGATAAGGGGGAGGGCTATAACTGCGAAATAATCTCCAATCCCAGTGGTTTCTGGACCAGTAATTCATCAAAAAAATCAAACTCCAAAGCGACAACCCTGAACCCGAAACCCTAAACCCCTAGAGCCGGTTGACTCTCGATTTTTGTTGGAGTTGCCAGGCCTGCTCCTCTTCACTGTCCTGGGAGGGTTCTGGAGGGCTGTAGGGCGATTATGCCCGAGATCGAATGGGATCCCGATCAGGTCAAGAAGATCGAAGAACTAAACAAAGCACTAAGCAGAAGTCAACAGCAGGAGTATCGGGATTAAATCTCGGTTTTAATCGTAACCGAGCGGCTGACAACGAACATTTCAATCCGTGTAAACCAGTGAAGGGGCGAAGACGATGAGTTATAGCGTCGTTGGCCTAGGCTGAGGCAAGTCTCATTCCAGAGGAAGGTGAGATCGGCGCACACTCTTTGTGCTGTTATGTAGGAGCCAGGATGCCCTTCAGAAGAGATCTTGTTGTCGGATGGCCCCTTAGTTTCGAACAGAAACCCACGGTAAGGTTTGGCCGCTCTCTCACGGAGGATCGCCGGATTCTGCAAGAGATGTCGAAGTAAGCTGTTAAAGTCTACTCGCACAGCTGCTGCTGAAACCAGGGTGAAGGGCTTGGGCCTAAACTCCCACCCGGTTTGTGTAGTTTTCGGTATGGCTGCTGTCAGGTTCTTTCTTACGCCCAGGCTGTTATTCGCTAGCAGAGCTACTCCAACGTCATGGTCATACAAGGGTAGCTGTGATTCTCAAACTCCTGGTTTAGGATTCCGGGATAGACGGCTCTACGGAGGTTCTATCAGAGTTCCATCGGAGCTCGTAGGCTTGTAGAAGGATGTTACACGGTTAGACAAGAGTTCTAAGATTGAAAGTTCAGAAGTGGCTGTGGGTTTTGAGTTTAGGGCTTTGTTTAGGCCCTACACTACACCATTAAATTCCAAGGCCGAAGCCCTTTCTAGTTGAAGCAAATTCCAGATAATTAGCAAGCAGCTAGGAGCAGCTAGGACCACACGGCAGACCTGCAGGAAAGTAGATGTTTAGGTTCCAAGACCAGAACCGTGAGCCCTAAACCTTGCCAGCATACGCCTCGAACCTGAGCCGCAGGGCCTGAACCCCTAAATCTCCAAGGGTCCGAGGTACTGTTATGGGGGATAATTTCCCAAGTCATAATAGTAATTCCTAATATAGAAACCCTCCATTCTGCTATATAGGTACTTTGGACCCTTTGGGATACACCTTCTCGCAGGCTCCTAGTTAACTAAGCAATATATTCGTGAGACCCCTGAGAACCGGAACCCCTCAACCCTACAGTACTACAGCATTCCTTATTGATTACCCTCTACTAGGCAGGGAGCCCTTTTTATTCCGAGGTTACTGGGCATCCTAGTTTTAGAACTCTGACGGATCCCTGAGCGAACGCCTTGCAGCAGGATGCTGGCATGACGGTGCTGGAGACAGAAGACTGCTTCGAGGCAAGGTTCCCGGCTTTTTTTATAGGGGCCTTAATCATGACCAATACTATTTTGGTGGTTCCCTGGTATAACTATAGTATAATTTAGCAGCTGCCCCCACCCTGTAATAGTGACTATAAGAATTATAGTAGGGCCCTACTATATTCTTATTATACCACTATTACAGGGTGGGGGCAGCTTCTAAAGTATAATGGGCCCCAAACCCGATTCTAGTTATGAAGGACCCTATATTAGTGTTTCTGGATGCAGGGCTGCTAGATTTTCAGACGTTTAAGGGTCGGGGGGTTGCAAAAGTTTATAACGGCGCGGTCAAAGTTTGTCCATTGTGGTTCTATTTGGGTTCCAAAGGTTTACAGTTTAGGGACATGTTTGCAGTGTCTGGCGGTTTTTGTTTCGTTGATGGTGGCTCTGCAATTGCTGAGAGCTTGGAGAGGTCTTGTGAAGGCGCAGACAAAGGTCCAGTGCGGTTTTGCAAGATTGTGGGGTTACAGGGTTCAGGGCCCTGCTACGAGCAGGTTCAAGGCTTGCAAAGTACCTTTGATCAGGAAGTTCCGTTACGTGAAGTCAGGGGTCCCCATTCGCCAGAACCTGCGAGAATGCCCTGCAGAAAAATTACCAATGCCATTCCTTTAATTCCCTTCTCTACTTATACTCTTCCAAGCCCCATTCTGATTGCTTAAAGACCCCTTTTTTTTCCGGGTCTTGGTTTATCGTCCACGGCTTCGCTGATGATGACATCAATACGAGGAGGAGGGCAACTGAACAAGAGCAGGAGCTCTGGGGCACACAGGTGGGACGATGGTGATGTTTTGGGTACTGCCCCCCCTCAGTAACAGTTGTGCAGTTTGGTAATATTCATATTATAGATATATCAGGACCTCAATAGTAGCCCTATCATGGGCTGTTACTGTAGGGGGGGGCAGTACCCAAGTGAAGTTGACGCTGATGGCGATGGTCATTGTGAGAATCTGCAGCGGTATCCCACGGTTTTTCCTGATCCTGACGCCTGACGACACAAAATACTCCAACCCAAAGGGTCCTATGTACTATTATGGGGGATACTTCCCCAAATCATAATAGTAATTCCTAATATAGAAACCCTACATTCTAGTATATCGGTACTTTGGACCCTTTGGGGACCTGCAGGGGGACAAAGCCGCAGTGCTCATGGATGCGCCAGCCCAAGAGGGTTCAGCTTTGCGTGGGTGTCGGTTTACGGTTTATAGGGCAGGGTTTAGGGCTTAGGGTTTAGGGTTTAAGGGTTTAGGGTTTCGGGTTCAAGGGTTTAGAGTTTAGGGCTTAGGGTCTAGGGTTTGGGGTTTAAGGGTTTAGTGTTTAGGGTTTAAGGGTTTAGGGTTTATAGGTTTACGGTTTATAGGGCAGGGTTTAGGGTTAAGGGTTCAGGGTGTAGGGTTTATAGTAGAATCCAGACATGTTGGCACGTCATTATCCTCGTGGCCTTAAGGTAAGGCATCGGGAATCGCAGCACTAATCATGCTTAAACCATGTTCCAACTTTCTGGGGTTCCCTGTAGGGCCTCTAGGAGTTGGGGTACAGTGTGGATGCCTGTAGCAACGGAGTGTTTGGCTGGTGTAGTCGTGGCAACTGGTTTGGTTATTGCTGGTGATTTTGTTTCTTTGTGGTAGATGTGGCCGTCTTGTTGTTATTGCTGGTGTTGCTTCTTCCGCTGTAGCTTCACTCACCTCACGACTCGCCACCACGGTCACAAACATCCGCATAGCCAGCGACGTCGTGTCACTGCCACTGCCACCATTGCGAGTAGCCTGGCAACACCAGCAGTAGCAGGAGCATGCCAACACAATGTGCATTGACCACGACGACACAGCGACATGTTTCGTTGCAGTGTCATATCATGAGCTTGTGCACTGCCGCGACGGCAGCAACTGGTCAAAGTAAGTCCAAAGACTGCGAGCCGCGAAGTTGCAAGCACTATACCCTATATCAGCAGATTCGAGTAGTTGCACGGAGGCAGTGCTGCCCGTTACAAAGCCACCTCAACAAAAGCATTTCCGGTGGTCAGTGGCGAATTGTCGCGAGGAAGGTACAACTCCCTCAATCTGGGCGTTGGGGGCACTTCACGGAAGCTTATTCCATGACTATTTTTTGGCTTGCCTTCGAGCCTGCAGGCATTTCGAATCTCAAGCTATGGGTTTAGGGTTTAGGGATTTCGAAGGGGACGAAGGCGGCTTCCCGGAGACCCTGAACCGGTAAGCCTCGCCAGGATGGGCGTTGTTGCAATACTCGATTGTAATTAACAGGGTTGTCCTTTGGGATCTTTTTTCAATTTCCCCTAGTATTTTGTAGAGAACCATAAGAGTAAACATTTTTCAAAGGGCTGAAAGGACAACTCAGCTAATGATCAGGTCGATTTGTGGCTGTGTGTCGGGGCGAACACAGCTTCCCCGCTTCCCCTAAACCCTAAATCCTAAATTCTACAGACTCTGAACCCCTAAAGCCCTAAACTCCCTCAACCCTAAACTCTGAATCCGAAGGCCTGAGACTTAGCTCCTAATCCTCTCCAAGATGACAGGTGTCAGATGGGGTGTGTTGAAACTTCCGATAGTAATGATCAGTTGATTCATTCTTCGTGTGCTTAAGGTTCAGGAATGTAGGGTTCAGGGTTTAGGGCTTTATTTAGAGTTTAGGTTTAGGGTTTAGGGAGTGTTTGATTCAAAATTAACTTTGTACGTGTATTGTTTGTTGCTTGCCATCGCTGTCGTGGGATTGTGACCTCTTTTTGTCGCGTAACAAGCAATCGTGCAGCAGTGTCTCTGCGTAACATTATCGCCATCCTCTGTCACAAATATCCCTCTCCCCGGGCAGTACACTAGTATGTAGTCATGTTGAGGAGCACAGGACGTGTGTCCTGGCCCAGGTCTGTGGTCCATGAGACTGTGTGTTTGGGTTTGATCTTAGGGTTTAGGGTTTAGGGTGCAAATTTGATGACGTTAATTAGCTGCTAGTGAAGATAGGAGTGCACTGATGGCTGGACCCCGAAAACCGGGGATCTCACAACGATCTCACACGACCTTCACTCACTGCTGCAAGCAAGGTGCTCCAAGATCGAGGCACCCAGGAGGCAGTCGGCAGAGTGGGTTTGTTTTGGAAGTCTTTAAGTTCTATGGGGGTTCGTTTAAAGGGGTCTATAGGATTCTATAAGGGTTCCCTTAAGGGGGTCTATAGGATTCTATAAGGGTTCCTTTAAAGGGGTCTATCAGGGGTACTAGGTGGGCCTTTGGGACATTTTCTATTTTCCCTTATTGGGCTTAATGGGACCGTATTTACGAATATTTTTCAGAGGCTTTAATCTAAAGGGCCAACCTAGTCGACCTCAGTGTCGGGGGTGCGGCCCGCTGTGGAATGCACCGAGTGTTTATCCCTTCTTCATAATGCTTCATCTAGGTCTCCCAGTGGGCCCTTGATCCCTTTTCCCAGTCTTAGGTTCCTTGAAAGACTGTACAATACCCAACCCTAAGGGTTCATGTACCCATATAGAGATACATGAGCCCCAAAGTACTTATATAATATAGGGACTACACTAAGGCCAGTGTGTAAACTATATGAGTACATGGACCCCCTTAGGGCAACGAGGCGCCCTTTCCATTCCTGCGTTATTGGGGGGGATCCTAGTCATGGGAGTTTCCGAAAATGAGGGATACCATATTTTGGGGTCCTTATCATACGGATCCTACTATCGAGGCTACTAGATTAATTAGGGTCCCCCATTTTCGGAAACCCCTCAATTTCATTATCTCTAGCATGAGCAGCAGTTCAATCAGGACAAAATCGGCTTCAGGCGAAACTTCTCTGCACGAAACTCCCACGCGAGGCTTGTCAAAGTTAAACATTTGGCTCCCTACTTAATACAAGTCATGGAAAATTGCATTGGTATCGAAAACTACTGTACATTTTTGCATTTTATGTTATAACTGTTATAACATAGAAGAGTACCGACATCTCGATGCCATGCTTGGGGGAAATGGGAACGCATGCGCAAGTTTTAGACCGTAACAGCATGCTAGTTTAGTCGTGGCTTCGGTGCGGCAACTGATGTGGCCGTGCATGTCCGCATTCCTAAATGGTTCGACCCAGGTTGGAATTTGCAGATCTGCATGTATGAAGTCAGGGGTTCGGATCTACAACTTGACAAGTTGGTATTGTTGGTTACTTTGCTTGCACATGCGATGCTACTGCTCGCGGTTCGCCTGCCTGGCATTTCTACAGGGTCTTTGTTCTCACGATTGCGGCCGGGGGCAACATGTTGCACACCGAGGCGAGAAATTGGAGTTGTCGTCACATGATAGCTGAGCTTGATTCAACCTCTCGTTACAAGTCTTCACGTAGGCACACAGGCACCCGGAGCTGCAGACTGTCAGGTGTAGGTCTGTGGACTTAGTAATAGCAGAGTAGTAGGTAACCTTTAACCTCTCTGGGGTGCTGTGATGCCCATTTAATCCAAATCTCCTCCCAAAGCTTAACCTGTAATTCCCCAGGAAAACGGACAAGTAGATGTAACCTAGACCTGGCAGGAATTGGAGAACGGTGCAGAGGAGCTTCTGTCCGGCCCGGAACCTCAGGAAAGTTTGGATGCATGAACCCCTAAACCCTCAACCCGTGGTCGGGGGATAAAATTTCCGGGGACTTGTGAAGTCATGTACTGTGTGGCCTAAATACATGCTAAAACTATCTATAGCCACAGTATATTTCATAGGGATCCTTAGGGGTGTAGGGGGAGGGGGGGTAGGGGGCCTTAATGCCCATAATAAGGACTAATAAGGCTTATTTAAGGAAATATAGTCCCCTACACCCCTCCCCCCTACACCCCTAAGGATCCCTATGAATATTGGGCCTCTATATTGCAAAACTTCAGGGCATTGGGATCCCAAGCTTCGCAGAGCATTGGCCGTGCAATAGAGTGCAGTCTAAGTGGGGGTGTTCGAGGATTCGGACTTCGCTGCTTGCTTCGGTTGATGATATAAATCCTGCATTACCTTAAAGACCCTAAACTATGGGAATTATGGTATATTCCTTATTATGGGTAATGCGGGATTTATATCATCAACCCTTAGGATGGTCCCGGGTGTTGCTGCTCAAGAGTTCAAGGCTCAAGTCTGAGGGTTTCTGGAAGTGAGGGTCCTTATAATAAGGATCCTGGAATTAGGTACTATATCAGGGTCCCTAAACCCTACAGCCCAAAACCCCTGAACCGCAAGCCCCTAAACCGTAAGCCCCCCCATTTGAGGCATGGGTCATGTGTTGAATTGATCTGCGAGCCTCATGGAGGGACTCGGGTCTTGCTGGTCTGCAGGTTACACAAACAGAGGCTCCTTCTTACTTGCCTCCAGAGCGAATTTTCAGTTTAGGCGTTGAAGGCATGTGACTGTCGTATGGTTCGTCGCACGGCTGCAACTGCGAGAAATCGTTACATGCACGCTGAACTACTTAACAAGACTAGTCCTGAGGGTTCCCTCAAAAGTCGCCAAAACCCGCTTCTACCTGGGTTGGAGTACCATACTTGAATACTTTCTTTGGTACCTGTTCCTTAAAGGAACCATTGTGAAATAAAACTCTGTATTTTTTCTCCTGGTTACTTCAAAGACCAGTCTAGTGGTTCAAGCTCACTAACCCCGGGGCTCCAAATAGCCCAAAGTAGGTACTATCTGGTATACTTGGAGCCCCTTAAACCCTAAACCCCAAAACTTCAAAACCCTAAACCCTAAACCCTAAGGCCCTAGGGTAAGTAATTGCTAGAGTCAGCCGCAGGCCTGGCAGACAACGAGATCAAGTCCTTCGCTTTGGCTGCCAGGGCCATGGACATTGGGAGCGCAAGGCCTACCGAGTTTCAAGGTTTTGGGATCATCCGAGACATCGAGTTGCTTGTAGAAATTGCTGTTTCTGTGCCTTTCCTGCTCGGGTCAGGTCAGGTCGAGTCCTTGACAGTGCTGCTTCGGGTGTTCTGCGAGCCTTCACACAACTTCGAGTAGCGCCATACGGGAGCCTCAACAACTCCCCATGGCAGCCCCGAACCTCAGGATCTCAAAGCCCTCTTCGAGTTGCTATTCTATTCGAGGCCGCTTTGCAAGGGTTTCACTCCCTGTGTAAGCACGTGCTCCATCAGATGCAAACGAAACAGGTCCCCGCGCCCACACCCTAGTTCTAATCCTAAAAGTTATCCTCAGGATGAAAGGCTTGGCTCAACTTGGCAGAGTCAGGAAGTGGTATGGCAACCAGTACTCTTTGTACATAAGGCTCTTGGCGCACGCAGATGAGCTGACATCCATCACGAAGGATGTCCACGAGCAAATCATGCAGAGAGTGGTTAAGGAGAGTCGCTTGCTTTCTTGCGAGAACCACAGGCAGAAGTACTTGGACAAGAAGCTTGAAAAACAAAGAGCGGCTCAGGACAGCCGCACGTTTGCTCAGCTGCTAGCACCTCCTGCTGATGTTCCGATTAACCTGGACACTGATGACGAGGACGCTGGCGACGGGGCTTTGGCGGCCAGCTCTTCTGCGCCTCCGCCCTCGAAGGAGAAGCTCGAGAAGTGCAGCAAAGCTAAGAAGCTCCGGAGGCCCAAGACGGGCGACAAGCCCAAGCCCGACGCTGGCGCAACCCTAAACCCTAAACCCTAAACCCCTAAACCCTAAACCCTAAACCCCTAAACCCTAAACCCTAAACCCTAAACCCTTAAACCCTTAAACCCTAAACCTTAAACCCTTAGACCCTAAACCCTAAACCCTAAACCCTAGCAGCAGCTCATGTTTGAAAAGTCAGAGTCTCAGAGCCACAACTTCTGCGCTAAGTCCATCACTAAAGTGTCCCGGTACCATTGGACCCCAAATAATTACCTATACTAGTTTAAGGGTTCCTATTATAATGAGAGTATAATGGCCCCCAAAACCCTATTCTAATTATTAAGGCCGCTATAGTACCAATGTAGTTGCTATACTAAGTAGGTGTGTGATTCAGGAAAAGTATATACTATGCTACCTATAGTCTTGATTGTAGTTCTTCCTTCGGGTTACCTCATAGGTTCGTAATTATACATATTTGGTTAAACCAAAAGCAGAAGCTACAGTGGAGGCTTTAGGTATTATTTAGGCCCTTGGGGATCTCTCTCTCTCTGCTGCTCTTGTTCTTCTCCGGCCTCTCTGCCGAGCCGCCTGAGCATCTCTAGCCAAGGCACAGTCTCAATTTCGGGCAGCCCTCATCAAGGCTGCTTGCTGCTTTTGATGGGTGGGGTTTATTATAGGGAGTTTAATTAGGGTTCATGGGGCTCAGCGTCGAGGGGCTGTGTTCTCAACATCCGGGGTTCAAGCTTCAAATTTGGGGCTTGCGGTTTCAGGTATTGGGCTTTCTAACTTTACATTTTCAGGGTTCGGGGCCTTCGGGCTTTTGGGTTGAGAGTTTGGGGTTGCAGGGGTCAGTGATGGATGAAACTGTCGTTTGGGATACTACATGCAATGAGGCTCGTGGGGCTTAGGATCTAGATTAATTAGTCTTCTTTCTCCTGAACCCCATCAAACAGTCTTGTTTCTTGTCGTCATATAGATGTGATTCTGATGAGGTGTGTAGTCTTCTTTGTAGGGTTTTCCAGGGTTGCGCGACACCACCCCTCCCGTCAGGTTGTCTCGAGTAGGAGCACAGAGGCTGGGACCATAAAGGGCCGATTCTCGCGGTACGCTTGGAATTAAGCGCTGTAAGATCCCTAACCCAATCAAAAATGTATATTCAGCGGCATCAACCTTGACACCCTAAACCCTAATCGCCGTAATCCCTAAGCCCGAAACCATACTCAATCCTTCGTTCTGATCCCAAGAACCCTGAAGCCGACCCTAAGGTTCCTGGACCCTTCTAGTGAGGTCCCAAACTCTCCCTAAGGGTCCATGTTATCATATAGTATATACATTGGCCTTAATGTCGTCCCTATGTAGGTACTTTGGGGCTCATGTATCTCTATATGGGTACATGGACCCTTAGGGTCTGGCCCCCAAAGCCGAACCCCCCCCCAAGAAGGCCCAAGACCCTCTGAGGAGCCTCAGGGTAACCCCAAAAAAAACTCTACGCGGCAGCCCAGCAGGTTGCTACAGCGAAAGGCATGGAGATCGCCACGGCAGGCGATGGACACATCCAGGTGGGCTCTAACCCTAAACCGTAAACCATGCGTTAATACAGGGAGCCTGAAAATTTCGAAGATGCTGTCGGGACACAGGGGGACTTGTGTGACTAGTTATTTCGGCGCTCTCTGGGTTTCAGGTTTTTTGGTGTCGAGAGTTTCAGTATGTGGTGCTGGTTTCTACTATGACCCGAAGGTTCCATGTACTCATATTGTATATACATTGGCCTTAATGTAGTCCCTATACAGGTACTTTGGGGCTCATGTATCTGTAGAAATATGGATACACGGACCCTTAGGGTATGTGACTTTGACAATCCGATTGGTTCCTTTATATCCCTACACTCTAACATACCAGGGACAATAAAGGGTAGTTGGGGGGTCTACGTAAAGCTGCAGGGCTCAGTGCCCACGTCTTTTGGAGACGGTGCACTTGGCTGCTGCAGGGCTGTTTCGGGGTTTTGGCGTACGGGTAGTTGTCAAAAACTAGGTCCTTTTTTGGTAACCCTAAATAATAGGTGCCGTACTATAATGAGGACCCAACTGTAAATTAGTGCCCCTTTTCGGAGTTCCAAAAGAGTAGGACACTACCAAATGATCCGAAACATGCGGGGGAGGCAGGCATCAGGGCTCGTGGAAAACTTGTCGTTCTTCGACCTTGGACAAACGGGTCTGAACGTGCATTTCAGGGCATCCCTGCTGGCTCAAGGTATCAGGTTGAGGGTTTAAGTGTTGTTCTGAGCTGATTTCAAGATATGTCGCAGGATCAGGGGTTCCGGACTCAACATAATTAATGTCATATACCATAGAAAACAGAATATACTAGAGCACAGTTTGACATACTATAACAGGTCATAACCAGACATAATACGAAACATCATAAACATGATATGATATGATATGACATAGTACAACAGACAATAGACGCTGGTTGGTTATACCATATCGAAAGCTGACAGGGTCAAGGTTTAGGGACCCTGGAAGGTTGGAAAGCTGAAGCTCTTCGACGCAAGCGTGCAGGCAGAGACTGATACTCCTGGGTTTGGAGTACCATACTTGAATACTTTTTCGGTACCTGTTCCTTAAACCATTATGAAATGAAAGTCTATACTTTTTCTCCCTGGTTACTTCAAAGTCCAGAACTGGCTTGGTTTAGGGCTTTAGGGCTTCGATGCGTTCAGGATTTACGGGCTGCAAAGTTTAGGGTTCTGTCTATACAGGAATCCGGAAGACGGAAAAACACCCCAGGACGGTCTAGGGCCTAGGGGTTTAGGGTTAAGACTAAGGGGTTTACAGGTTTAGGGTGTAGGGGTTTGGGGTTTGCAAGCGCAGCTTGTTCGATAAGGCAATAGATCGCGAGTGATCATGTGTCTTCCCGACTGTTTTGCGATGACAATCCGCTGACGCAAGTCAACTTTATGTCGCAGGGAACTTTTGACGAAGGAAGCGAAGAGAATTGCCCGAGAAGCCGCGGGACCTTCATGTTCGGTTGTGGGTAAGTTTCAAGGAAAAGTTCCGTCGACCTCAGCAGACTTATATGCAGAACATCGCCAATGGTCAACCGGCGATTGCTGACAATGATAACGAGGGAAGATGCTGAGACCAGTGTTGCAGCCGCCAGAAGCAAACCTCACTTTCAAGCTGCAGAATCCGTTCAAAGTAATGTGGCTGAAGTGCGCTGGGCCGGCATGCGACGAAGTTGCGTCTTGCACCACGGCTCAACATGACGAACAAATGGTACAATCTGTCGCGTTTTGACTTGTCATCGTTCTCAAATACTGCAAAGAAGACAGCACCCCGAAAACATTTAATTTGCGTATTGCTTGGCTGGCTTCTTGCCTGTCCTATTTGAAGGTCGAATGTTTTTTTGGTGAACCCCGCGCTATCCTTTGGCACGTTTTCGGGTGCTTGGCTTGGCTCCCAGCCTTCGACGCCACCTTTGAGCTTGCCCCTTGGGTGTTGTTGTTAATTAATTGCAATCCCAAAAAGGATTATTCCAAGATCACCTTTGCGGTGGATGCCAGCACAGGGGAGATCCAAAGCACGGTCATGTGGACAGAGGCCCCACACGACGTGCATGTCCTCCTGGCCTGCAGCTCCCACAAACTGGGCCTGGCATTGGACACCATGGTTGGGTTGGGCGACCGTGTCTTTCGACATTTGAGCCTGAAGCCAGCGGGTAGTGCCGACAGCGTCGGTTTTCCCCTTCCCCATCTCCGGGACTTGGGAGAAGCTGGTGCCTCCCAAGCCGGGAGCACCCGCTGCACCACCAACGCCACCAAGCTCCGCCCTGCTACCCACTCCACCGGCACCATCGCCTCAGTCACCGGACCCTTTGCGAGGACATTTGGAGGCAACTCGGAGTGTAGCAGAGGCTGGGGCGTTTCGGGCAACTGCTGGGGCAGGTGGTTCTACAGCAATCCCTGCTGCGGTCTCGGCAGGCAGCGACAGCGTCCCGCGGCTTGAAGGGTTTTGGCGTAACTCTCGTTTTTAGTTTGATCTTGGCAGGCGGATGTCATCGTGCAGCAGCTCCGCATGGCTCGGAGTCGCTGGCTTGACGACAATAGTAACGGTCGCACGCGGCGTATTTTTGGTTTAGCGCAGCCGCACCGCCAGCCGACTGACTGCGCGCAGTATACTGCAGCTGCAACCAATCTGTGGCGCTCATACTTTTGTCATTCCACGCGCCGCCAACCCGTCGCTTGGGGCTCTGAAAAATACCGAGGACGAGTCCAAGAAGATCGGAGCGCCTTACAGTAAGCCCCAAAGACCCCTAAAACCCTAATGCCTTGAACCCCAAAGCCCTGCACCCCCAGACCCTCAAATCCCTAAGCCATACAACCCAAACAGCAGCAAAAGCCCTGGACGCCCTAATGCCCTAAACCCTAAACTCTAAATCCTCCAACCACTGCATAAACACCGGGAAGGAGACCATCAAGGCTCTCCAAGAGGGCGACAGCCACAACTTTGGCTTCCTACCGAATCTCAAAAAGCAGGTCGCAGCCTGGCAGCAGGACGGTTAGCAAGGACCGCCCAAGTGCCCTGTAACAGAGCCCTTATGGTCCCTCGTAGTTGGTAGTTGGGGTATAATAGAAGGCAGTTGGGGAGTCTAGGAGGGGCTTCAGGGTTTGGATTTAGATTTCGGGTTCCAGGTTTTAGGGGTTTAACGGTTCAGGATTAAGGGAAAAAGCGGGTCGCAGCCGGCTATTTAGGGAATTTAGGGTTCAATGTTAGGGTTTGGGGTTTTAGGGGCTTAAGGGTTTGGGGGGTTTCAGGGCTTAGGGAGAAAAGCAGGTCGCAGCCGGGCAGCAAGCCTTGAGGGGATTTTTGCACGGGAGTTCGCCGCAGGGTTTTATGAAAGGCGTTCCCTGCATGGTCTCCACAACAAGGGGGACAGTCTAAGGGTCAGTACTAGTCAGTACAGGGGTTTGGTATAGTATACGTGGTTTAGATGTTGGGTGCAGAGGCTATTTTTGTATATCCGGTTGGTGTTAAAGCGTAGGCAGTTGCGGGATAGTTCAGCCATGTCCGGCTTTTGAACCAGGCCACCTTCGAGTTTAGAAGGAAGCACAGACAAATTCGAAGAACGGTGAGCCGTGACACAGACCAAGTTGTTGAGATTAGGCCTTTTCTTTCTTTCATTGCGTATGCAAGTTTACTGTTTTTAACGTGCTTTGGAGAACTGTTTTGAAGCAACGGCTCTGTACTCTATCTGTTTCAACAATGCCCTACACCCGAATCCCAACATCATGAAGCCACGGAAGGTTCAGATACTTGCAACCCAAACTTGCCCAAATCATGAAGTATTTGCTCTCGAAGCTTTAGAAAATTGAACCACTTAAAGACTTAAAGCTTGAAGCCCAGAACAAGCTCCCCAACGACCCTACGGTAGAACCCTAAAGCCCTAAACTCCTCGAAAAACTATCGCACTGTAGACCTAAAGCCCTCGAAGCATCTCGAAGCCAGTTCAAAAACATAATCTTTAAGTCCTGAACCCTAAACCCTAAATCTTTGACCCACCACCCAGGTCAGGAGGCGAGGTCAAGAAGAAGGCTGTCCATGGGGCTTTGAATTGTGTAAGACGCCTGCACGGATTCTATAGGGTAGCTTTACGGTTTTTTATCAGGGTTCTAGAATGGATCTGCAAGGGATCTATGCGGGTTCTATAAGGGTTAAGGGTGTCATATGCAAGCCTCAAAAATTACCACTAATCATCGTTGCTCACTGTACCTATACGTGGATATGCCCTTACACCATGTTCAGGGCCAACTTTTGGCATCTGTCCGAGGATGTTCGCTGAGAAAAGCATGGCATGTTTGCCCTGACTTTTTGATTGAGAGGGGGTTGTGTCGGCAAGGCAACTGCTGACTTGTTCTATATTATAAAGTATGCAATACAGGTCTTAGACGCAGAAGCCCCAATGTTTTCCAGGATTTTTCCATCTAGGTCTAGGGATTAGGAACTTAGGCTTTAGGGTCTTAGGATTTGAGAGTTTAGGTGTTTTGGGAGTTTAGTGTTCGGGGTTTCGGGATTTGGGGGTTCAGGGTGTGCTACCGACCACTGCTGAGCCTGCGTCTGTCAGCTTTACCTATAGTCTCCATGGTAGTTCCTTTTTTTGGTTAACCAAAAACTCTATTACAGGATCCTAACCATAAAACTGGTAAACCAAAAAAGGGAACTACAATGGAGACTATAGTTTCGGAAAATTACTCTCGAATCCACCATCATATCAGTGACTGGGCTTCTCGCATGGCAATATCTTTATTGCAGTCATGAAAGTATCAGGGTGTGAGATTCCATGCGGGGAATTGCTTACAAAAGCATGGTGCTTAAAAGAAAGAAGTGTGTAGAACCTTTTGCACTCTAAATGAGGCGCCCTTTTGTCGTGCTTGTTTGAGCCTTTTCTACACCAGGCGCGATTCTGTACGATTGGCAACATCTTAAGATTTGTTGTCCCGTACTATAATCAGTTTTTCATAACTACGACTGAAGACATGTCCTTTAGATATTGAAACCCTGAACCCTCAACACAACAACATCCAGACTTCCAGAAGTCTTAGACCCCGGGTTTCACCTTCCAAACATGCAAAAGTGATTGGACACCGACACGGGATTTGTAAAATACCCTAAGGGTCCATGGACTCATATAGTATATACACATTGGCCTTAATGTAGTCCCTATATAGGTAACTGGGGCTCATGTATCCCTATATGGCATACTATATGGGCTACTATGGGGGTTACTTTAAGGTTCTTTATAAGGATTACTATAAGGGCTCTTGTAAGGAGCATATTGTATGGGTACATGGACCCTTAGGGATAGGCTTTGCTGCGAGGACCCTAGATCCTCAACCTTTTTCCCGGATCACTGCGAGACGGAAACGGGTCGTTCCCAACAAAAAAACGCGTAAGGTTTCAGGATTTAGGGCTTAGGATACTTCAATCCGAGAAATCCGGGATTTTGGCTTCAATCCCCAGGCTGGGGTAGTACAGCCGTTTCCGAAGACGTCAGTGATGATGGGTTCCATGATGTTGTACTATGGGTACGGCATTCATATCATGGTTTCGTTGTTGAAATGCCGATGATGTTTTGTTCATGGTTATATAAGGGACGCCAAAGCCTCAAAGACTTCCGAACTGTGGGATTCCAGAAGGCCCCTTAGATTCCTGGTCGCCGAAGCCCTTCCGTAAGGTGTTTGTCCACCTGCGCAAAACGGTTTGAAGGCAATGCTCATAAGCCAATGATGGTGATTGGTCGCTTCGATTTTGCGTGGAACATATCCACAAACATCTCGCCTTCGTCAAGAATAACAATCTGACACGTGTAGTAAAAGAAAGCCAATGTCAACTAGAAGAAGTAGACTAGTCGTCAGGAGCACCACCCTAAACCCTAATCCCTGAACTACCCTCCCCTCCATAGTGCTTAAAACGCTTCAGGCCTGATGGTGGACGACACTGCTACTGGGATTTCTGAGGCTTACCCAGAGACTCCAATATCCTTTAGTTCAGGAATATACCCTAAATCAATTTAGGGATCCTACTATACTTTAAGGTATATTCCTTAATAAAGGAATACGGCGTATACATCTCCAATTATATTAGGGATCCTACTATACTTTAAGGTATATTCCTTAATTAAGGGATATTGGAGTCTCTGGGTAGTTGGGAACCCTAAATCCTGAGCCTTCCAGACTAGGGCGGAGGGGGGAGGGGCGAGCATGGGTGCGAAACTTTGGCCACATGGTGCAGATCCCGGCTGACCCCCGCTACATTGAAAGGGGTTGTATTAGGGATCCTAAAACCCCTGCAATTCAAGAAAGGGTGTTTCATAACATGGTGAGATACATTTTCATTTGCGAGTTGTTTTGACGGCGGCTTCTAGTTTTGCGCGGGGCTTGCGTACGGGAACCTACGGTTCAGGGATGAAGGGTCTCGTGATTCGGTCCATCCTTTCCCCATGAATCCCCATTAAACCAAAGTTACGAATCCAGGAAACGGTTGCAAAACCCAGGAAAGCATGGAAACGGTTAAGCCCAAAACCCTCTATCCTATGCAGCCCTATTTCAACAGGAAGTCACGAAAACCAAGGAGAACATGAACAAACTGTTAAGCCCTAAACCCTCTGAAGCTGTATTTCGAAAGGAAATCACGAAGACCAAGGAAAACATGGTGCGCATCCAGCGGCCAACAATGTCGCCCACCTTCATCGACAAGGCCAGCTTGTTTCATATAGAAGCCGGTATAAATACCAGCATGATTCCTTTGGGTCCCTTAGAAGAACTATACTATAGTATATATAGAAGCCGAGATAATTACCAGCATCATTCCTGTCGGCCCAATACAAGAACTAAACTATAGTACAATAGTGTAGCATAGAAGCCGGGATAATTACCAGCATTATTCCTTTGGGCCCCTTAGAAGAACTATACTATAGTATAGTAGTGTATCATACCCTTAATGTCCCCTGTATTGGGTATCTTTGGGATGGGATCATTCTCTGTGCATCTTACAGGTCAGTATGGGTTAGGTGTAAATTTGGCCCGGCGTTGTCAGCTATTTTATGACGTTGCAGAGTCTGTATAGGGCCGTTACAGGGTTTCACAGGGTCATTGCAGGTTGTGTTTTGGTTTATGCAAATGCCCAGTAGGGAGTTCGTACAACAGGGTTCGCAGAACCGGGTATCTAGGATATTTGTCATTAGGGCTTTGTCCGTTCTAAGGGGCTTTCGCACGGGTTCCCTAGGGTTTATAGGGGATGTAAGGGGTGGGGTTGAAGTAGACTTTGTGCCCGTTCCCCGTTATAATCTGTAGGTGAAGTGTTCCCCCAAATCTACCTACCCCAATTATCTATTTCCCTCCCTTCCCCTAAGGGCCCCTCTACCCAAATAGAGATACATGAGCCCCAAAGTACATATATATATATATATATATAGGGACTACATTAAGGCCAATGTGTATATAAGTATATACAATATGAGTACATGGACCGTTAGGGTTCTGCATCAAGCAAGCAATCGGATGCTCAGTTCGCTATCTTGAACTACTACAGGGAACTCCAGAAAGTTGGAATATGGTTTCATGGTAGGATACCCCATAATTTACCATAGAAGGGTTAGGATAATTATATTCCAACTTTCTGGCTTTTACCTTATAGCCTTTTGCTTTTTCTGTACGTTCCTGTTGTTAGCCCATGTATCGAATATAGAGAAACCCGACCCGAAAGTTGTTTAAGTCATATGATCAAAGGGGAAAAGGAGGGACCCTTAATGGGGACCCCTACCCTTTAATAATGGGCTAGTGGGTATATAATAGCAATATTAAAGGTATATACCTAGGGGTCCTTCTTAAGGGTCCCTCCTTTTCCCTTTGATATGAACACCCTTGACAGGCTTCGGCGTTGGAAGAGCTCCGGAGAGTCACAGATGCGGTCTTCAAGAGCTGTGCCACGGGCAGGACGGCTGTTTATCACAGTTAGGTTCGTACCGCGATGTTCAGGTTCAGACTGTTTTTTGCAGCTGCTGCTGTACTGCCGCTTGTCATCAGTACTTAAGCCCTCAAAAACTAAACCGCTCAGAATCACATCGTAACTGTTACTGTTTTTTCTCCTGTTGCTGCTTTCATGACATCAATCCAAGCATGAAGAATCACCTTTTTCACACGTCATACGAAGAATGCCCAGTCAACCACCATACTTGTTTTAAAACCCCTAAACCCTACGGTATACTTGTAGAGTTACAATACGGTTGATGGTATAAATCCTGCATGACCCATAATAAGGAATATACCATAATTCCCATAGTTTAGGGTCCTTAAGGTAATGCAGGATTTATATCATCAACCCTAAACCCTAAACCCTATAGATCCCTTAAAGGAAGCCCTTAAAGGTACCCCTATAGATCCCTTTTAAAGGAGCCCTAGGGATTTAGATCATCAACCGTAGTGCGCGTTGCATCCCTGAGCCTCGGAGCCCTTGGCCCGACTACGCCCTTTGGATACCGAAGAGCCCGACATCTTCCTTACCTTTGGTTAGTAGGAAGTGGAGGAATGGGGTACAGTTATAACTACTATTACTACCATTCTTCCTTTCCTTACTAACCGAAGGTAAGCTTCGATAGAAGATGGGGTGCAGTAGGAGTTACTACAAGAGTTGCTATACGAAGTACCATAGGGGTTGCAAGGGCACGGTGAGGTATCTGGAAAGGGTCTAAGGCTCAGACATCAGGGTTTCGACTTCAAAAACTGGACACGGTTCAGGCCGCTCTCCGTAGACCCAAACTGACTTGGGCCTCGACAGTCATCCCTAAGGGTCCATGTGCCCATATAGAGATACATGAGCCCCAAAGTACCTATATAGGGACTACATTAGGGCCAATGTATAAACGGTATGGGTGGTTGTCAAAATTGTGGTCCCTTTTTTGGGTCCCGAACATAATTTAGGGTACCCAAAAAAAAGGGGCCTTGATTTTGACAACTACCCATATGAGAACATGTACCCTTACGGCATGGGCTTGCAGCTCTCGGAGAGGAGTCTTCAAGGCTGATGGAAGGGTTTAGTGCTTTGGTGTGTGCGGGTTCCGGGTTCTTCAGGACAGAGCAAAGAATTTGTAGCAGCCACTACCTAAACCCCCCAAAGTAGGTAAAATATTAGCCCGACACCTTGCAAAGGCTATTATTCCATATACTTTGGGGGTCCAGGTAGATGTTAGTGTGGCGACATGCATGCTGCCCCTGAACCCGAAACCACCAAAGATGGAAACTTAAGTATGTGAGCAGGCTGGCACATCAGATCTTCATGCGGCGTGGCTCGGCTTCACAGCATTGGTTCGGATCCAAGGTCGCGTATATACAGTTAAGCCCTCAAAGTTGGAAACCGGATTAAGACCAAGTAGTGCTGGGATTCCCTATACATTACGCTTAAGGATAGAGGCTATTGGGTTTCCAACTTTTAGGCTTTCTCTGTAGAAGTCTAAACTTGCGGTATCTCACTAGAATCATCGTACAGTCTCATCAACCTCATGACCCTGCTTTAGTGATTGACCCTACCGAAGAGCACTTTTGGCCTTTGAGTCGAAGTTTGGTTTCAAGTTTGTTTTTTTGTGTTTTTTCTCTCTCTCTCTCTCTCTCTACTCTCTGTCTCTCTGTTTTGAAAACAGGGCCTGCAAGAATTGGAACAGGGTGTCAGTGTATTTCAGTGAACATGTCTGCATGATGCATACAACGGGTACGATGACTGCTTCACTTTTTCCGACCTCTCGAACACCTTCAGGGTTAAGGATCTGTTGGGCTTGGGGGTGGAAACTGTCAACCCTAAATCCCAAACATGGAGCCCTCAATCCTCAAACCTAGACCATAGTTGGCGGAAAGCCTATGTAAGCAACAAGTAAGCACACATACACGCCTATTCTGATTACTAAGATCCCGGAAAGGCTTACTAAGGCCTCGACATTGTAATTACAACCCTTGCATTTCTCTGCCTGGGAGGTCAAGATTTGGTGAAGCTCTTCGACGAGGAGTTCCGCGGCACAAGCCCTCACGGTACAGGGATTTGGATTTTAGATGTTTTTTAGGCTTTAGGGCTCATTAGGGTTACGGTTCTTGTAGTTCTTTCATGCTGATTGGAATCATGTTGCGTTGTGATTCTAGTAAAACTGCAAGGGAGTGTGAAGCTAGTATTTGCATCGTGGTTGTAAGGGCGTTGAAAGTCACAGGGTTCAATGTTTTATGGCTTTAGGCTTAAGGCCCTTCAGGGCTGACTAACCCTAAGGGTCCATGTACTCAAAGGGTATATACATTGGCCTTAATGTAGTCCCTATATAGGTACTTTGGGGCTCATGTACCTCTATATGGGTACATGGACCCTTAGGGTAAGATTCAGGTTTAGGGTTTCGGGTTTGAAGTTTTAGAGCTCACTACGCTTAGGGTTTAAGGTTTAGGGCTTGTAAGGGTTACGTTTACGGCCCACTACGGTTTCTGGGTTTAGGAGGGTGTAAGGCCTTAGAGCTGCAGCGATTTGATTTTGGGGTGTCGATACTTGGGTTCCTTACTTGTCCTGGGATCGGAATTCAAAACTCATTTTGTTCTTTTCTGGGCTTCACGCTTCATGGTTTCATTCCCACGCCGAAGCCCTGAACCCTCAAGTCAACGCAGCTTCGTCCTTGAACCCTAGCCTCCTATACCCCAAACAGAACGTGTTTGAATACTGAACCCTTGAAATAATTAATCCCCCTTAACAAAACCTCTTAAGATGTAGCTTGCCCTCGCCATTCAAGGGCCAGGGCTTGGGTTTCAACGAAGCTTTTTGGAGCTTTTGGGCCCATTCATTCACATGGTGAAGCCCGAGCCTCAGGTACGGCCCCCACTCAGTAATAGTTGAATAATATTCATTTTATAGATATAGTAGGACCTTAATAGTAGCCTTATTATAGACTCTTACTGTATGGTGGCCGTACCTCAAGATCTTGAACCGTTATGCAGGCAACTGAAGCCTTTCTTTCTTCTCCGTTTTTGTTTCAAGCCTTGACATGGGAGTCTCCGAAATTAGGGGGTACCTTATTCTGGGGTCCTTACAATAAGGATCCTACTATTCAGGGTACTATATTAGAGTTCCCTATTTTCGGAAACTCCCATATAGCCCCGACACAAGGCGTGGTCTTTGGTTTCCTGTATGCAGTTCGCGCGAGACCCGAAACACTCCGAAACCCTGAACCCCTACAGGGGTGGTTGTCAAAATTATGGTCCCTTTTTGGGTACCCTAAATATTAGGTGCCGTACTATATTATTAGGGACCCAAAAAGGGACCATATTTTTGATAACCACGCATATAGAGGCCCTGCACCATGAACCCCACACTTTCAAACCCACAATGCCCTAACCGCAAAACTCTCGATCTGCACAATCCTAAACGGTCGTGCACGACGGTGGTCGCTATGGCTACTTGGAGGGTATAAGTACCCGAAAAGGGACCCTGATTGGGGTTATGGTACTTATAAGTCCCGAAAATAACCAGTTACTAAGTCCCCCGACCCTCCAAGTATTCTCCTCCTGCAGTTGAGGCTGGCTGAGCGCAACGATTTCCGCACAAGTGTGGGCCACGCGGCAGAGCAAAGGAGTGCTCCGAGCACAGAGCCATACTACAGGGGCCCAAATAATTACCAATACCATTGTGGGGGGGTTCCTTATTATAATTATTCAGTATAATGGATCCCAAAGCCCTATTCCAATTGTTAAAGCCCCAGGGTCCTGGGGTGTTCAGGGGTTTTAATTCGGGTTTGGGAATTTGGGGGTATAAGGTTAGGGTTCCATGTTTTCTTGTGAGCTTGTTGTACACGCAACACTGTCAGTCCAAATCTTAACCCCAAGCCTTGAGCCTCCAGGTTCGGCACGTGCATCACCGCTTGATGGGTTTCACTTGAGTATGGATATCACATACTAGCACTCCCTTTCCATACATATGATAAGTGTACTATATCATGACATTGTAAAGATTTAAAGCCCTATATTAGGTGCTCGAAATTCAGAGTGGTTTGGCGGTGCATGCTCCCGGGGGCTCGTTGTAATGCTGCAAGACTGGAGACCCGGATTCCATGAAAGCAAAGGTTGCTTTAGGCAGAAACCCTATAAGCCTGCAAAGGAGCCCTTAGATGTTAAAATCCTAAGCCCTATAACTATAGCCGACAACCCTAATCCCAAACACATAGCAGCCTTGGTCGCAGCACGTGCTTCTATGTGTGGATCAGGTTTTGGGGAGAACTAGTCGTGAACATCACAGAAAATGGATTGTTGGCTGTCGACTCAAGATTGTGATTGGGTGTGCTAGGTTGTGCGAGTAGCCAGAGTCTGCGTGTGTCCCTGCAACTTTTTCGTTTTCAACAGTTATTTCCATCACGGCTCGAATTATGTAGGTGCAGTCATTTGAGGCGTCGTCAGTTGGGCCTTTGCCACAGATCACACATGTCCTTTACCCGAAGCCCTGAAACATTTCACGGCCATGACAACTATGGAAGCCTGAATAATGTGCAAGTTTATTCCTGAGTGTTCCATAAATATAGTTCTATAATACAATTCTATCATACCCCAAAGCCCTGTTAAGGCTGGTGCATAATCCATGACCTGACAGCAAAACCCTAAACCATCCCAACCCCGTAACCCCACGGTAGACGGTTTATAAGGTTTAGGCTTTATAGGATCTAGCGACTTTTGATGCGGCTTTGGCTGGCCATGTTTGGGGCCTTTATTGAGAAGCTTAGCTGCACCCACACAGGAACCCTTAATGAGATTCTGTGTTCGTAGCATCACTACTAGTACTACCAGCCGGCTTATCTTATTATTGCTAGTCTTGGTATGTTTATTGCTAGTCTTCGTATTATTCATATTAAGATTGCATTAATATTGGTGTTCTTTTCAAGTTAGTAGTACTATCATAAGCCCAGGCCTAGGCCCTAAGCCTTGACCCATTCGTGCCCAGATCGAGTGTACGACGACACCTTGCAGCTTCAACTGGAGCCTTGTCGTTTGAGCTTTCGGGTAGATCATGAGCCCCCAAGGGCCCTTGAATAGAGTCCTTGTGGCCATATTATAGGGTAGTTGGGGGTCAAGGGAGGGAGCAGGGTTTAGGGCTTTGGGTGTAGGGTTTAGCGTGTAGAGTCCAGGAGGTTCGGTGTTGAGAGTTTTGCAATCTGCGAGTACGTAGTATGCACCTTCTCCAATGTGTACACCACAAGGATCAAATTCGTTAATCACCGGTGTATGCCACCAGACTATCAACAAGAGCGCCATCATGACATTGCCGCTTCCTCGTCCTGACTTGCCAGGCATGGACAGCTCGATACCCCTGCGCACCTGGGGATACATAGGCCACCTTAATCCCGCTTTGTGAATGTCTACGGGCATGCACGGCGCGCACCCGATACTAAAGGCAGTTTCAGTGTGGCAGAGGGCCCTTGTCGAGCACCTCAACATATGAATCCTCTGCCTCGGTAGTATCCTCGAACCGTGTCCTCAAGGTTCCATGACCAGATACTCTTGAGCCTGATGAGGATGTGGAGGTTTGTGTTGTTGTTGATGATGATGGTCATGATGCTGATGACGGCGATGATGACGATGATGTTTGCTGCTGTCAATGTTTGACGACGACAATGGTCATTGCCATGGTCATCACCTGGATGTTGATGATGTTGATTGTTGCAAGGATTACATTGACGATCAGGATGGTGTCATGTTGAAATACTGCGTGACCGCTCTCTAAGCAGAACATGTTAAACTATGCCGGGCATTGTGATATGACTTGGGCGACCATGACGTCATCACTATTCTATAGGATGTAGACTGGAAGCTGATCGAGATCGTGATGGCGACAGTGAAGATGAATAAGCCTATCGTGATGATCATGACGGTGGTGATGTCAATGATGACCATGATGTTGCTATGGCTTCGATTGTGACGATGGTGGCGCCCATGGTGATGGCGACGACAGCCAAGACAAGATCGCAACACAGACGAACCCACACCTTCGATCATCATACTCAGGACATCCTCGGACAGAACTATGGCGACCCGGCCGCATCTGTTGAACTAAGTGGATTGCGTGCTCAAAAGGCAGTCGTCCCGAGCTCCAGATACAGAAACCCCGGCCTCCGTTGTGACACCAGTCACGTCACTGATGATGGCGAGTATGTCTCGGTGTGGTGCATTTTGCAGGGTGTTGGTATCCTACATATCCGTTGTTTTGGAAGCAGCCCCCCCCCCCCATCTCGCGAGTCTGTCTTTCCAAAGCCAGCTGAAGGTTTAAGCTGTGTGGCCGTGAACACTCAGCCCGCTATGAGACCCCTCAGCATGAACACCAGGACAATAGCATGCCAATGCATTTTTTCGCAGAACTATGGTGTAAGACTGCTAGAATCCCCAAAATCCTATTCTGAGTTTTGAGGCCCTCGTTGGTGACTTGTGATTGACCTCACTGAAAGTAATCGCTATAGATCTGCAGTGAAACTAATAACAACCACGTTGTTTGCAGTCATACTTTTAGCAACAGTGAGAAGTCTTGCTAGCAAGACTGGCAACAAGTCTACTGCTGCTCCTAACCATTTGTCTGTAAGGCTCGACAAGGCAGAGCCGTGACGTTGCAGCCCATGCCAGCAGGAACGACCACGCTAAGCACCAAACATCCGCCTGCTAACATCCGACACATCCGAGCTCTGCCACCAGGGCTGAAAAATGCTTCTAAAGCCAAATTCGGTTAGGGCTTAGTTCCTGGTCTAGTGTTTGACTTTCGGAAGTCTCGTATCCCGAAACCCTACACTTATAGGCCCTAAACCCTACACCCTTAACGTCCCTAAGCCGTATATCCTATTCCCCAAACCCTGCAACCCAAAACCCTAAACCCCAAAACCCTAAACCCAAAACCCCAAAACCCCCAAACCCTAAACCCCAAAACCCCCAAACCCTAAACCCCAAACCCCAGAACCCCCAAACCCTAAACCCCAAAACCCTAAACCCAAAACCCCAAAACCCCCAAACCCTAAACCCCAAAACCCTAAACCCCCAAACCCTAGACCCCAAAACCCCAAACCCTAAACCCCGAAACCCGTCCGAATTTCAGGTCTCTCGAAGGAATACTTTCAGGCGCCTCCGACAATTCTCTCTCGGGTGGTTTTGGGAAGTCAGGTGGCTTTGTTTCTTTTTGAAACCTTGGGCCTTTATTAGGGTTATATAAGGGTTCTATAAAGGAATCTATACATCAGTATATATATATATATATACATATATGATCCCGGTTCTCGGTTCACCGACCCCCCCCCCCCCCCCCACGCTCCCCAAGCCGAATCTGTGTGTCCACACGAGGGCTCACACGCCACGCCAAGCAGACCCACGCAGGAAACCCAAACCGCACCACACCACAGGGGGGAGTCGGGTAACCAGCCTAAGCAGACCCACCGAACCACACCCCACCACAGGGAGGGGGAAGCAACCCACAACCACACCACACCACAGCAGACCCACGCAGGAAACCACCACACCACGCCTAAGCAGACCCACTCCCGAACCACACCACACCACACCACAGGGAGGGTGAAGCGAACCACAACCACACCACACCACAGGAGGGCGAGGAGGAACCATTGGGGGGGGGAGGGGCGGGGGGGCGGCCGAACCGGGATCATATATAAGGGATCGATAAAGGGTTTAGGGTTTAGGGTAGGAGCATGATTAAGAATCCCTGGATCTTTATTCGGGCTCCTTGTATGAATCCTACCAGTTTGGGGTTGTAGGGCCAGGGTTTCTGAATCAGACTCCTACATTAGGGCAGAAGGTTTGCTTTCATAGGGTTGAACTGCATCAAAAACATCGACCATCCGGATTTTTGATCGGGAATTGTGCAAGGTGACAGTTCGGTATCATCGGGCTTTTTGGGCATGCAAAGGTTTGAAAAGGTTCAGCCGGGCTGAGCCGCCGGCGAAGGGTTCGCATTGACTTTCGGGTTCTGGTGGAGTTTCCGTTGCGTTTTTGTTATAACGAAGTTTTCGGGGTGGCCCATGGTCTGTGCAGGTCTTTCTGACGAAAGCCTCCAACGAGCTTGGGTGGCGACCGAATATGGACGCATTGTTGGCCTTGGAAAAAGCCATTGAGGCCGGGTCGGGATCCAGGGAAAGGAAATGTGCATGTACCCATATAGAGATACATGAGCCCCAAAGTACCTATATAGGGACGACATTAAGGCCAGTGTATATACTATATGAGTACATGAATTTTAGGGGAAAGGAAGTGTGAAGGTACGCTGCTTGAGAATGTGCTTGAACGATCCAGCAACTTCATCAACCCTTGTTTTACTTGTTCTGTTCAGGGGTCTGAAGCAATGGACATTGGAGAGTACTACTATTTAGGGTACGTGCTATATTAGGGTCCCCTATTATTGTCAGAAACTCCGCCCAGGCCGCGGAATAGGCGAAGGTGAGGGTTTAGGGTTTAGTCCAAACAGGGATAAACCAAGGCCTCCGACACCCGCAAGTCCCCAAGCCCTAAAGCCTGAAGCCCTAGATGGGTGAGGGTTTGTGTCTCGCGTTTTGGGGCACTCCAAGACCCGATTCTTCGATGGCTGACGGTGTACGTCCTAATTAGGCTCTATAGGCGGACTTTTGCTAGGGTTGCAGAGGACTTCAATATCTGAAAGGTTGCGTGCTTTGCCAGTATGACCAAAGTAGCGGAAAAGCGTGCTTTAGGGCTGTAAAGGTATTCGATAGTATTGGGGTATGTGCCTGTGCGCTTTCTCGTGGGTGCCATGGGTTCACTGTTTTAGGGTTTGGTTTGGGGGATTTTGTAGAACTGTCCCGAGTATTTGAATAACCGGTAATAGCCAACTCCCCTGCTTGGAGGTTCATGGGTAGATATGAGTGGGGTTTGTGCGTCCCCTAATATGGATTACAACTAGGGTTACCCTACTTATACCTAGAGTCTCCATCGTAACTACCTTTGTGATTCAACCAACTTTATATCGCAGGATCCTAACCATAGAACTGCTTAGCCAAAAGCAGGAACTGCAATTGAAACTGTAGGTAGCCCCACTTACCCCAAGGGTCCAGGTACCCAATAATCATATACTCTCCAAAATCTTAACCTACATAACTACTATCCTAAAACCGAGTACCTGATTATTGGGTTGTTCGGACCCTTGGCGGCTTATGGCTGCCCGTGAACCTCCAAGTGAAACGTGTAGACCCACTGACCGAACTCTCTGCACTCTAAGCTGCTGCAGCTTAAAAAACCCTAAACTTCAATATCCCAAACCCTAAACCCTGAACGTTGAAGAGTGGATCTGCGAGGGTAAAAACGAGTTCAACAAAACCCGAACCTTAAATTACACACTAAACTTGAATACCCATGGGGACAGCTTTACGTAAAAACTTTACGAGGCCGGCTACGGAAGAAGAACATAAGAAAAGGGGCCTTAATAATTACCTATAGGGGTTCCTAAATTTCCTTTAAAGGGGTCTATAAGGGTTACTGTAAGGGGATCTATAAGGGTACCATAATATGATGACCTACACCGCTTTGGGGCTTCTCTTTCATAGTCAGAGTAGAACGGGCCCCGCAACCCTAGTTATCCTCATGAAGGCCCCTTGATTTACACCCCAATGTGGTAGGAGAAGGACGACGAGGAGCAAGCAGCTGGGCACAGAGGTGTACAGTAAACCCCGTAAAGTTGGAAACTGGATTAAGACCAAATTGTGCCGGGATACCCTATATATTATTCTTAAGGATTGAGGTTATTGGGTTTCCAGCTTTTATGGTTCTACTGTACGATAAGGGCACGTCAAGTGGTACTGAAAGGGTCGCTATGGGGTTCCTTTAAGGGTTCAGGGGTCTCGCTAGGGGCAGAGATTCACCGATAAGGGATTGTGATTTGGGGGTGTTTGATTCGCTTTGGGGTTTAGGGTAAGTGGTTCTGAGTTTGGGCTTTTGATTCAGAGCTGTCGTCCTGAACCATAAGCCGTGAGGGGTGTTGAGCTTGGGTTTTGGGTTCAGAGCTGTCAGCCGAATAATTGAAAACCTTGTTCCAAGGGGTTCCTTAGCAGAGTTATATTATACGGACTGTAAAATACCCCCAAGCCCGTTTCCGTTTGTTAAGCGTCCTAGATTCGGGTGTTGCTGCCGACCACGTTAAACGAATAGACCCACGGGAGGCATCGTCTTGAACAGCCAAAGCCTTCAGTTTCGGTCTATTGCGCAGGGCCAACACTTGGATCCATAAATCTTGAACCTGGTCTTTTGGTCGAGCTGGTAAGCTTGAAGCTTGTGGGGGCAGTGTTACTCTCATGTAATCCCAAGATGCGACCCGTAAGATCCCCGTAGATTCACTGGGGGTATAGGACAGTGTAGGTTGTGGGGCCGAGTCCTTACCCCCGAATTTCTGTGTCACCTGAACTGAGATCCTGCTCTAAACATTCAGCACCGATGCCTGCACTATGGTTGCTATGATTAATTCGGCTTGTGCGAAGGCCAGTATTTTACGTGATCAACAACGGGGTCCACGCGGCTGAAGGACTCAAGCCTTAAATCCGAGGACCATCCATCAGCCCCCGAGAGCACGAAATCTTCAAGCCCCGAAACTGGAGCTACTGAGGCGCTGGAATCTGATCACGAGGAGGAGCTCTCTTGAATCAGAGCTTTTATCTGTGGCTCCATGAGCCTACTACTCGAAGAGCCTATGGTTTAGGACACAAACCCTAAGCCCCAAACCTAAGCCTCTCTATGACCGGTGGGAAACTGCCATCTCAGTAGGGTCTGGAGCTACAGGCAGGGCTTAAAAGCCCGACCCATGCCACCCTTGGGAAGCAATCCGAGGCCAGGAAACACGGCAAGGACAGCTAGGGTATATGGTTTAGGGGGCCTTCTCCCACACTAAACCGAGCATCCTTTGATTTGCTGTCTAGAAGACGGTGTTGTGTGCTGCCGGATGTTACTGCAATCTTGCTGTTGACCAAGTCCCATATGCCATATGTTTCTTGAAGAGTGTGCGCATGTCGGCATGGTTGTTGTTCGCAGACCCTTGTACTTTTCAGACTGCGGTGGGTAGCACTGCAGTTGCAACCGATATTCATGTCACTGTTTGGTTGTTGTAGTGTTTCACGCGGGGTCGGAGGACCCAAACAAGTAAGAAGCAATTCCTAAGTCATTACCCTGGCCCTAAGCCGAAATCATGAAGCTGTGCATACTATCTCTGAACAAGTGAAACTCTGCAGGGTTCGGGGTTTAGGGCAGCAGCATGCCTGATTTCGATCTTAGCATATTCTGGCACAACAGACTCCCAAAACCCTCGAGGCTAAACTTCACCCTAAACGCCCGGGCCCCATAAGATCCATCAAGGTATCCCCAAGGGTCCAAGTACCTAATAATCATATACTCTCCAAAATCCAACCTACATAACTATCCTAAAACCGAGTACTTAGTTATTGGCTCCTTTGGACCCTTGGGCTATGGCCGAGTGTGGAGCTTCTCAGTGGGTGACACATACTCACAGATGTGCAGCTTCTCCCGCAGCAAGGGTCCTAAGTACTATTTTGCGGGGGATACTTCCCCAAATCATAGCAGTAATTCCTGGTATAGAAGCCTTACATTCTACTTTGGGGTTCCACGGAGGAGGAGAGGTTTGGAACACATCATCAGGGCTTGAGTGTCTTCCAGCAGACACTAGACGCCGCAACCCTAAGTCCGAACCCCCATGCCTGCGCCCTGAACCTTAAGACCCATAAGGGGATGGTCACTTTGTCTTGGGCCCAAGTAGAGAGGGAGAGAGAGAGAGAGAAGTTGTTTTTCTGTATTATCTGTGTCGGGGAACATGTCTACTGTTTCGTGGACGAAGTTAGAATACGTGAGCTGAAATGAAGGTAAGCGTCTCACTTTGCCGATGTTCGGTCGTAGTTTATATGTTCATGGCCGTTGCGGCACGATTTCCCTAGTTGGCGACTGCTGTCTTTGCCAACCAAACCCCTGGCCGAGAGTCTGATCCTTCAGGCCTCCAAATTTCCATGAAGGGGTTCGTTGTTCTCGAACACTCGCACACTTAGGGTTAAGACTGAAGGCAGTCGCTGTTTCCGAAACAAGTTCAGGGTTTGGGGTTTTGGGAGAAGGAAGAAAGGGCTACTAAGCAGGCTTGCTTTCTGTTGTGGCGCTTCTAGCTTTGAGCTGGTACGGGCTCGCAGGGAGCCCTCCTTTCATGTTCTGGCTTCGGCTTTTCAGCAGTTCTGCTTACGGGTCCTACGAGAGCAAGCCCAACTCAGCCACTCTGCTTGGGCATTGCCCCGGCCACTGCTGGGAGACTGGGTTCTTGCGAAGGAATCTAATTGAAGCTACCAATAACAGGGTTCCGTTCTTAAAAACAGGGTGCTCTCATTCTTGCAGTTCCACTCGCTCCTTTGCAAGAACCCTTATAGAAGCCTTATAAGGGAGCCCTATACATTATGGAACCTTAAGTTAAGTCTCGTAGGAAGAGTCCAGGAGAAGCTGTGCACATCTTCAACTTCGTTAAGGGAGAGCTGAGCTCTCTCCGCCATCGTCCCAAACCCGCGAAGCCGAAATCAGGGAGCCAATAAAATAACCCGACGTAAGCTTCAACCCTACGCTCTAAACCCTATATGAGCCAAAAACCCTAAACCTCACCCTAAAACCTTGCTATAAGCATCAACGAAATCTTCTGCGCCTCTACTCCGCAGAACACGAGGCGCCACTAAACAGGGTGCATCCTCAGTGACCTAGCAGTATCTTTTGGGGTTTAGGGGTTTCGGACTTAGGGTTTATTATATAAGGTTTAGGGGTTTAGGAGTTGAAGGTTTCAGGGTTTAGGGGTTTAGGGTTGAGCCTCGGAGGGGTGTTGGGGGGTATAGGCTAACCCCAAGGGCTCAAGTACCTAATAATCATATACTCTCCAAAATCCTAAGCTACATAACTACTATCCTGGAACTGAGTGCCCGATTATATTGGGTCCTTTGGACCCTTGGGGTATAAGGGTTCAGGATTCTAGTCCCTTGATGACGCGGTTGTGACTAGGACCCAGAGTAGGCCCCTATTCCTTTTTTTTAGGGTTCAGGTTCCCTTATAAACCCCTTTAAACCAAAAAGGGCACCCTTTTTATTCCTAGGTTACTCTTAGGTCTAGGTGATGATCAGAGATCTCTACCACAGTAACCTGCAACCCGCCTTGGCCCTCAGCGGTTGTTAGCTACCTGAAACGAAAATAAGCTACCGTTTTAGGGTTCCTTACCATGATGTCTTGGTATATGTCCAGGTTCAGGAAAGGATAGGTTCTTTAGGGTCTGGTGAGGTAGTTTCTATGCTTGTTGACCTGTTCTTTTGTCCTGGAGGCCTAACCGCCAAATATCCAGAATCTGATTCACTAACCCAAAGGGTCCAAGTACCTTTATAATTAGTAGAATGTAGGGTTTCCATATTAGGAATTCCTATGATTTGGGAAAGTATCCCCCATAACAGCACCTAGGACCCCTTGGGTAAATCTTCAAGTATTTGAGCCAATCGTGACCATCGCGCGATCACGGGTTTGGCATTCAGGATCGCCTGTGACAAAGAAGTGGCGAAGCATCTACTCACAAGGTTCTCTACAGTAGAAGCCAAAAAGGTGGAAACCCAATGGCCCCAACCCTTAAGAGTAATGTAGAGGGAATCCCAGCACTATTTGGCCTTAATCCGGTTTCCAACTTTAAGGGGCTCAAATACTTGAAGATTTACCCTAAGGGTCCATGTGCCCATATAGAGATACATCAGCCCCAAAGTACCTATATAGGGACTACTAAGGCCAATGATATACTACATGAGTACATGGACCCTTAGGGTCACAAGGTTCTCTATGGAACCTTACGACTGAGTATCTCACGAGAACATTTGTAACTGCACATCCCTGCCTACTTCTAGGCATTGCTGTTCCCTGGCATTGGTTAACTCTCCAGCTGTCTGCTTTTCTCCTTTCTGCTTTATCCATCTGCCTATACTTCCAGACTCTTCAACTCTTCATGCATTTGGATACATACATATCATACATCAAATCATACCTGACTACCTACTCGTGTACATTCGCACATTCACAGGTCCAATGTGCACACCTGCACGCTGTGTACTGGTGTGTGTGTGTGTGTGTGTGTGCACGAATATGTTTATGCTTTCATGTGTGTTTGTCAAAATGGTGGAAAGGGCATGTTCATACGTGAATGTAATACTGTTTCATTCTTCATGCAATACGGCTGTGCATGTGTCTGCCTGTGTGAAGATGAACGCGTTCAGTCACATTGGAGCATATAGATGGATGCGTGCGTGTAGCATGTATGCCCTGCAGGCATAGCCAGACCCCATTTAATCTCGTAGGCCTGCTGGAGTACCCTAACCAAACTCTCCTTTTGTGCACATTCTCATTGCAAACCCGATTATGGAGTTCACAGGGCCATAGGGACCCTACAAACGCATAGGTGTTGGTAGGTTCAGGTACTTGGAGGTTCATGGGTAGTCTGGTTAGAAATCCCCTAATATGGGTTATAAGTATAGTTACCGTACTTATGACCCTACGTATCACTACCCATGAACCTCCAAGTAGGGGTTCGATATGAAGCTCGAAAGCCCACAAGATCCTTTGCCATCGTCTTAGCCGGCTCTCCTGGGTTTAGGGTTTAGGGGTTTCGGGTTTAGGGTGTTTTTTTTGTGCTACTTTTGAAGCTTTGTCCCCGTGTGCATGACTCTTGCAGTGAGTCGGTGAGACGTAGAGTAGGTTTCTTAAAGAGAACCAATCTGAGAGCAACCCTCGAAGTGTCTGAGCCGTAAACTGGCAGGATGCTTCTGTGCGTGGACCTCGCTGGCTCGAGCTCTTTAGGTAGCCACTGTAGTTTGTTACGCATGGTATTGTTTAGATGTTGGTTACATGTTGGCATGAACTGTATGGGTTGTCTCATTGTTGTTTAAACACACCGAATAATGTACAGATATGGACATTGCTGTTTTTGTAGATTCAGTATGTATTCATTTAGTTTACACATACTAATATGCAGCGCTACATACATGTAGTGTGTGCATGTCTTTGCGGCTGGCTTCTTGCAATCTACTTACTAAGTCCCCTGAATCTTTAAAGTAGTACAGTAAACCCCAGAAATTTGGAAACTGGATTAAGGCCAAATAGTGCTGGGATTCCTTATTCATTACTGTTACGGATTGAGGCTATGCGGTTTCCAACTTTTGGGCTTCTACTGTACACGGACCTCATAGTTAGGGCCCTAGACCCCTTAAGTTCCTCATAACAAGGTCCCTGAAGGCATAGGGGTTTCAAACAAGTACACTGCGGCTGCAGCGGCTTGATGGGGTGAGGCTTGCCAGGTCTTTGGGCTTTGGGTTTCAGTTGGAAGGTTGTGGGCTTTGGATTTATACGGTCCCGGGCATCTGTTGTTTCCTGAATCCATAGCAGGGATTTAGCGACAGAAATTTGCTTCAGAATCCATTGCTCATCGAAAGCATTCGTGTCCACACATGTCCGCACTAAGGTCTTTAACAACTCCAGAGTTTTCTGCCCTAAACTCCAATACACCCTCAACCCACCCTAAACCCTACACCCCTATATCCTAAACCCAATATCTTCAACCGGTAAGTCCCTTGATCCATTAAGTAACTA